GAACCTTTAACATCTGAAGAACCTTTCTGTTTGACAAAAGGTTATTTGTGGCGAAAGAAGGTTCTTCAGATTATAAAAGGGTAAGAAAGAGATGGTTCTTTAAAGAACCTTTGACTGAATGGTTCTTTGTGGAACCAAAAATGGTTCTTCTATGGCATCGCTTGAAGAACCTTTTGAAGCACCTTTATTTTGAAGAGTGTATGTGAAAATAAGTGTATTCACTGAGCTGATGATCTGAATGAGAGAGAGAGAGAAAGAGTGTGTACAGAGCAGGGCGAGGCCAGGAACAGGATGAGAACGCTGCTTTTGAACATTGATTTTGAAACTTGTGAATCCATTAGAATCGTTAGAAGACAGAATCGCGATTCATATATGAATAGATTTTTACGTGCACCTCTAGTTTTCTCTTCCTCTTCTCTAAAGCAGCGCAGCATGGCCTCACCCCCTTTGCTGCGTGTTCCCGGAGGCGGGGTTTATGTAAAAGTCTGGGTTCTTGACGTAACGGACCCGGGAAGTAACTCATTGTAGTCCCTTACCATCTGTCTTTACAACTTTTACTTGTAATGGAGTAATATTTGACCAGCAGTATCTGTACTTTCACTCAAGTAATGGAATTGAGGACTTTGTCCTCCTCTGTGCATACCTCGGTTGTAACAGGTGATTAATTGAGTTACTGTTGCATGTCTATCAGCTCAAACCAGTCTGCCCATACGCCTCTGACCTCTGGCATCAACAAGGCATTTTCACTCACAGAACTGCAGCTTTCTGTATATTTTAATTTTTTTGGACTATACTCTGTAAACCCTAGAGATGGTTGTGCATGAAAATCCCAGTAAATTAGCAGTTTCTGAAATACTCAGACCAGCCTGTCTGGTACCAAGAACCAAGCCATGTTCAAAGTCACTTAAATCACCTTTCTACCCCATTCTGATGCTCGGTTTGGATTTCAGCAGATTGTCTTGACCATGTCTTCCTTGTGACTGGATAATTAGATATTTGTGTCAACAAGCAGTTGAACTGGTGCATCTAATATAGTGTATGTAAAAGGGATTCTGGAAGAAGTGAACGTATTCAGACTGGTTTATGATGGTTAGTGGTGGTTTGATGCTACATTAGCTCATTGACGGAAACTCCTGATGAAGCTTGGTGGTGACTCCAATAAACCAACATTCAAAACACAACATAAGCTGGTAACCAGCAACTACGCGTAACACCTGCTTAAGCGTCTTGCAGGCAAAAAGGAAGCTGGCTGACATTAAGGGAATAGATGCATCATTGTGTGACTGCTTCCCCTTGAGAAACCAGCCACCACTTGCATAGATTAGCGCTTTATCATTAGCATGACACAGATCCGTCCTGTCGGCGGTGATGCGATGGATGATGGAGTCTGAGGGGGTTTCTGAAGTGCTCATTTCCTCACAGAAAGCAGCAATATATGTGTGGTAAAATGTTGCATTGCCAAATGGGTGGAGGGAATGGAATAATTTGGTTCTTTATCAGATTTGTAATAGCACTCTGGCTGTAGGCTGATTAATCTCATTTAGAATTTCTGGATTGAATAATGTTTTTCTTCCTTTTTATGTCTGCCTCTCGCTGCCTCTTTCTGTGTCTGTCTCTCTCTCTCTCTCTCTCTCTCTCTCTCTCTCTCTCTCTCTCTTAAGCCCGCTTCACTCTGACTGCGATGTTATCGCTGGAGGTTGCTACGTCCCTGTATTGTTGATCGCTAGTGTTGATTTCATTGTATATTGACAATTAATAGGAAATACCGTCAAAATCTACTATTGGGTAAGTATATGTAACAAATCACGTAAAAATGTATCATCTTTTATTAGAAAATTAAACAACATTTTCTCAAACTTTGATAATTGTCTTAATCTTTTAAACAACTGAGAAGATCTACATTTTATAAAAATCACCTATCAATTTCAGTGAGTAAAGAACAAATGTATACTCACCTGCGTTATGTATTAATTAAGTATGTTACTGTCTCTGACAGACAGCATGTTGAAGCTGCTTAGGGTGCCATTTTCTCCTTCTCTGAAAGGATAGAAGGAAAATGGATGGGGTAAAATACAGTCCAATTCTTGAGGAAAATCTGCTGCCCTTTGCCAGAAAGTTGTCAATGGGAAGAAGGTTTACCTTCCAACATGACAATGACTCAAAGCACACAGCAAAACTGAACACAGTGGTTGAAGGAGAAAAAGGTGAATGTCCTTGCATGGCCTAATCAGAGCCCAGACTTAAACCCCATTGAAAATCTGTGGAATGACTTGAAGACTGCAGTCCACAAACAGTCACCATCAAATTTAACTGATTCGAGTTAAAGAGTTAAACAAATGTAACTCTTCTGCAAAGAAGAGTGGGCAAATATTGCAAAGTCTAGATGTGCAAAGTTAGTAGAGACATGTTGATGTTTTACCTTTCACTTGGATGTTATAAGTTGCACTGAGTAAATACAGTGAAGTGACGTATGACGTGTGGCCAAGTATGGTGACCCATACTCAGAATTTGTGCTCTGCATTTAACCCATCCAAGTGCACACACACACACCGTGAACACACACCCGTAGCAGTGGGCAGCCATGTGCTGTGGTGCCCGGGGAGCAGTTGGGGGTTCGGTGCCTTGCTCAAGGGTCTCACCTCAGTCGTGGTATTGAGGGTGGAAGAGAACACTGGTTATTCAGTCACCCCACCGACAATTCCTGCCGGACCTGAGACGCGAACCGGTAACACTTTACAATAAGGTTCATTAGTTAACATTAGTTAACTACTTTAGTTAACATTAACTAAGCATGAACAATACTTCTAGAGCATTTATTAATCTTAGTTTATGTTCATTTCAACATTTACTAATGCATTATTAAAATCAAAACTTGTGCTTGTTAACATTATTTAATGCACTGTGAATTAACATGATCTAACAATGAACGACTGTGTTTTCATTAACTAACATTAACAAAGATGAATAAATACTGTAATAAATGTATTGTTCATTGTTTGTTCATGTTAGTTAATAAATGAACTAACATTAACTAATGGAACCTTATTGTAAAGTGTTACCCGCGAACCTTTTGGTTACAAGTCTCTCTCTCTAACCACAACTGCCCCATCTCTAACCACGACTGCCCTGACAGCTGGATAAAATAAAAACTCTGTCTGTCTTCATTTCAGTCTGATTATTTTAAAGGGGGATTATTTTATATATTATTATATATATAATCTAAATATAGATTATTTTCTATATCCACTGTAAATGGAGTCATGGGGTGCATGTTTGTTTTCTAGAAATAAGTATCTAACTTGGCTTTTGAGACATCAATCCTTTGCATACCGCCCCTGAAGTCATCCATGTGTAAAAGGCCGGTGAACCATGAGGGATGGGGTCAGCTTTTACACATGATCTCTTTTCATTGCTCACTTAGCATAGAACGGTGGTAATTCATGGAATTGCTGTGTACTTGTGCTAATGTATTACTCGTGTTTTTTTTTTCTTCTTTTTTGATTCTGCTTTAATGAAGCATAGTATGTGTTAATGAGCTTTTGTGTTTTTGTATGTGTGACAAAGGTCTCTGCCGCCTCCTTGGTTAAGGGCTTTTACTTCAGTTTCTTGAAAGCAGGCTCCTGGCATCATCTACATAATTTCCTTTCAAATTGCTAACTGTTGATGATTTAACTCTTACAAATTGTTTCTGTCATGCCAAAAATGGTTTATAGGAACTTACTTATTTTAAGTTATGCATTTTTTTCTTCTTTTATCTTATTTTTTTTATTTAATTATTATAATTTTTTGTCTTGCCAGTGTTCTTTAAAGCATTTTGTGAATGGTACAGATGCAACTCTTATGGTTATACACACACACACACACACACACATCTATATATATATATATATGTTTGTTTGTTTTCTTTCCATTTCTTGTTTTAGTTTGTACTTTGTCAAGGTGGTACCATGATAATGTGGTAAACATCGATTTTGAGCTTTACTCAACTCGTTGTGATTCATAAGAACGTTTTGAATTTATCACTGAACAAAGAAGGTTCCCCAGATTGCTCTTCACACAAATGCCTAGAAAATTATTTGGGACAAATGTACCTCCATTTTTAAAGATTACTGTCAGGAAAGTGACCTACTTCTGAAAAGTGTTTGGTTTTATGATAACGAGCTTGTGGTCTAAACACTTGGGGGTTTTATCCCCAAATCTAACCATTGCTGTCCATTTCTTTAAAAAGTATTGAACCGATTCTGACCTCAATGCACTAGACTGTTCTCAAGAGGTGAGAAAAATCTGTTTTCCTAATGTCCTCTTATTACCGGCAGTGACAATGTACAGAGCCAGACTTTTTCTGTAGAGGCAATATGTTATAATTATCTGTAGAGAACACTTTGTCAGTTATGTATACAGTACCTTGTGCATTAGTAAAGTAATCTGGTTCTGGCATTTAGGTTGCCGAAAACAAGCACATTTCTCTCAGATTGGAAGTGGCATGTCTCATTTATGGCATTACTTTAAAAGTCCTTATTGAATTTCTTTTTTTCTCAAAGGTTAATGACTTGCAGTAAATGCTAAATTTTCCACAGTATAACTTAAAAAGAGATTGTCTCTCATTCATTAATATTCTTGTTTATATTTAATATCTGAAAATGTCAATCTACTAATTTTCACTTATTTTTTACTTTTTTTCCCCCTTGATCTTTTCTCTGTCTGTCTCCTTCTTTAAGATCCTTCTGATATTATACACTATCCACATGCTAATTTCCTGTCTCGCAACTCCAAATTGACCGTATCTCTCTTCAAACAAATTATTATTATATAACTAGTGAAAACCTGTGAAAATGTACAAATTAACACAGTGTTAATTTGTGTTACTTCTCTTTCCCCTTGGTGCTATATACTGTAGATTGCTTTTTCTCTCTTTTCTTTCCTCCCTTCTGACTTACCTTATTTAATCTAAACACAATAACTGACAAATACATATCATGTTGGCTTGTGTAACTCCACAGGTTGCATTTCCTGGTCTTCCACACAGAAGAGGTGCATGATGTTTTGCGGATCTGGGATGGGCCTCAGGACGGAGGTGTTCTGCTGAGAGAGCTGAGTGGCTCTACACTTCCTCCAGACCTCCACAGCACCTTCAACTCTGTCAGTCTGCAGTTTACAACCGACTTCTTCACCAGCAAGCAGGGTTTCGCTCTGCAGTTCTCGGGTATGTGTTTTACTCACACTCCATTCACTCTCAATCCACTTCACAGCTCCACACTTTCACCAGCGATCAGCGTGGATGGTTCGATTGCAGAATTCACAATCCTTGTAGATGCTTTAAGGGGTGAATAGTTTATTCCCTCACAAAATATAAGTGCATTTTGTTTATTTTGCTCTTTTGCATTGAATCAAAAGCCTTCGCTATTTGATTTGGTTCAAGGCTTGAACGTCTTTATTTATTTATGTATTTATCTATTTAGTTGTAGACACATTTTCATCCAGGTTGCTGATTTTATGCGAAAACTGAAATATTGCTACAAATTGTAGATAAAATGGGGTTTCCATCCCTTGTATTCCAAGCCACTTTGGCTCTTTGGTAACACTTTAGTTTAGGGACCAATTCTCACTGTTAACTAGTTCCTTATTAGCATGCATATTACTAGCATTTTGGCTGCATTAGTACTTATAAAGCACATACAGTATTAATGCCTTATTCTGCATGACCATATTTTAGGTCCCTTAATCCTACCCCATACCTAACTATTATTATATTGTGGCTATTATTGTATTGGGGGAGCTGTGGCCTAATGGTTAGAGAGTCAGACTTGTAACCCAAAGGTCACGGGTTCGAGTCTTGTGCAAACCACAAATTCCAAGAATGGGACACCATACTTGGCTACACGTCACTTTCACTTTCATTAGCAGCAAATTAGGAGTTTATTGAGGCAAAAGTCATTGTTAATAGTTAGCTAATAGTGAGAATTGGTCCCCAAACTGAAGTGTGACTGGCTATTTTATTAAATGTAATACATTTCTTACTGTTTTGAGCTTGCAGACAAAACGTTAATTCTGTGAGTCAGTAGTAGCCAATCATCCGAGCAAATTAATCCGTAACATGAGGCCTTAAGGCAAGTTGCATGATATTTTTGGTTCGTATCTAGAAATGTATTGAGTAAATGTGCTTCCATGTTCCATCCCACTTTCCATCCAGCCCCATCCTGAAACTCATAACATTTTTGATAAAAAACCTTACTAGTGGGAGATGAATGACAACAGAGAAGCACCATCTTAGAGCTTCTCCTAAAGCCAACGACAGCACCCACCATGCAGCACGACCTTACAGATGCAACCTCTCCACTGACAATAAATGAAACCCGTTAAGCCAAGGTTTATGTGCTTCTGTCTGCTGTCAGCTTGTAACCAGGGTAACCATCCCCGCCCACCTCCATCAGCCATCACTCCAACCACAGTGTCCTGATTTCTTGTGTGATATCTTAGAGACTCAAAAAAGAAATTAAATGTTTTACATAAAATGAAAATAAATATGCCATTACACATCAATGCCATGATATTTCTGTTACAAAGCCTCACATTTTACTTTTGGGTTAAAGCATCTTTGAGAGAGTGCCACAGAGATGCAGGTGTCTAGATAAATAAATGAACGTGTGTAGAAGCATGCGGACTAGAGCTGTCATTTGGGTGCTACAGACTCAGTGGCTCTGACTGTGTAGGTAGTATGCAGGCTTACAGCAGTTATTATGGATGTTTGTAATGCTTGGTAGGTCAGTACCCCAAACCAGCAGATAACTTAGATTGGTTACTCATGAACAACAGACTTTCTAGTTCTTAGTCTAAGGACAGTGGTTGGCCTTGACAATGGGAGGCTTTCGAGTTAAAAAGGTTGAGAGCCATTGGTCTGTATTGAGACAATGGGATCCATTGATTACGTTAAGGTTGCTAACTGGATGTTTTCCTTTCTGCAGTTTCAACTGCCACTTCCTGTAATGATCCTGGCATTCCAACAAATGGCACCCGCATAGGAGACAGCAGAGAGCCAGGGGATCATGTGCTGTTCCAGTGCGATCCCGGATACCTCCTACAGGGGGCGACTAAAATCACCTGTACCGAGATCAACAACCGTTTCTTCTGGCAGCCTGATCCACCCACCTGTTCTGGTAAGAGCATGCCAAATTAAGAAATGTAAATGCTCCCTTCCTCAACCAACACTTCCACAGTGATCCCTCCATCTTTACACTTTATTTTTAATGTAAGAGCAGGCATTTTTATCTTGAATGTGCATGGCTTCTGATGTCATACGCTTCCAGTATTTTTTTGCTGTAGAAAGCATGTAGTTATGATCTTATGCTGCTTCATGGTGCAAACTGGTATTTGTTATCATATTAATTTAATTTATTATTTTAAATAACTATTGTAATCACAATTCTCAATCACAGTTTTTTTTAATGTTTTTTGCACTAATAGTTTCACCATTTACTGCACTGTTAATTCTCTAGTAATTTACTGATAGCAGCCAAATTAATCACAAAACTCCCACATTCACAGGAAATAGCTTACTTCCTGAAAAAATAAGGTGGATACTCTGTCCCATCAGTTTCACATAAAGAAAGACATAAAATTGATCAGTATCACACAAGCAAAAGTGCAACTAGAATGAATATTGACAGAGTTTTGGTTTTGCTAATGGCTAATAATGCTAATATACCGTTGACATCAAACCTGCAGAAAACCCGAAACATTCTGAAAACTCATGTAAGCACACTTTATATAATGAGCTCAACACTCAATGATGCAATTCAAGTCATATTGAAATTATTTTCAGTTTCCTTTGTTCAAGGCCTAGTTCCATCTATTCCATATACCATATACCATCTATTCTCTTACAGCAGCTACATTATAAAGATTTCATCACACTACTTCCCAGAAAATGATTTTTGTGGACATTAGGGGCAGCAGTATTTGGTTCCTCTTCAGGAACTCGAGCTGCGTCGAGAAACGCTAGGGGAACGCCGTTCAGCGTGACGGGCTCTGAATTTCATGTGTAATCAGACCAATAGATGGGCGAGACGTCACGGCGGGTGATGTAATGACCAGGAGGCTATAAAAGCACGTGCGGTGAGACCAGCGTCAGCTTTTTGTCATTCAGCAAGCGCTCTGTGTGTGTGTCGTTCTGATATCTGTCTGTGAGTCATATTTGGTGTTGTCTGTCCCGTAGGGCTAGAAATAAAGAAAACAAGTATGTCTAAAGCACATGACAAGTCACGTCATTTGACTATGGGCGAAGGCAGCCAGCGTTTCAAACCGTGTGTTCCTCCCTGTCCGCGTTTCATTACGGGGGCGGATACACACAGTTTGTGCGTTGTCTGCCTGGGAGCGGAGCATGCTGAGTCAGCCGCATTACACGGTGTCTATCTCGCCTCAGTGCCCTCAGGAGACCAATCTGCTAACCCTGCCGGAGTTACAGGGCGCAGCGGTCTCCCGCGAGCACCACTCTCAGTCACCGCCCGGCATCGTAGCGGTGCGTCACCCGCCGTGACGTCTCGCCCATCTATTGGTCTGATTACACACGAAATTCAGAGCCCGTCACGCTGAACGCCGTTCCCCTAGCGTTTCTCGACGCAGCGTCTCGTTTCCTCGAGGAACTAGCGTTACATACGTGACCTGAGGCGTTTTCTTTTGTGAATTAAAGCCACTTTATGTTAATAGCCAGTCTTAACTATAATATAATTAGGTTGCCTTGTTCAATTAAACTCAGTATGAGTTTGTGTTAATGTTAACCTAAACCACAGGCAAAACACTGGAGATGTTTGCCTGTTCCAGGTTTTCTTTTAAAAACCTGCAACTGCTGAGTTGAGCACATGACTTAATTTACTTAATAATCTTTGGGTCTAGATAATTACAGATTTGCTAATAGTTAAAACAGGAAGTGTTTATCTCAATAAAGCAAAATTACAACTATGTTCTAGATCAGTGTTTCCCCCCTGCGGTGCCGTCTGTCGAGAGCAGGGGTGCCGTGTAAAAAATACTTTTTAAATATTTTTAAATTGCTAAAATGTTCAAAAGAGCATCTATTATATAATATCCATTTCTGATGTCGCCAATAATTAGAGATGCACCGAAATTTCGGCTGCCGAAAATTAGTTCACTGCTCAGTTTTCACTTTCACGTGGTGTGACGCTCTGCGTATTATCCTGCTCTATGCGTGTGTGTGCGCTCCGCTCAGTCGGTCCACTCGTATACCGTTCATGCTCATCGGAACAGCAAAGTCCACTCAAAAATTGAGCCGACAGGAAACATCAATGTAGTACAGTATTGTTTCTGTTTGCAATAGCCCTACTGTGTTGTAACATGGTGTGGTATATGGGCAACTCTGGTAACGCTGCCCTCTCATTCATTGATCTGCTAACCGCTATGCTATGCTCACGTGTTCTGATAATAGCTTTCTAGGACTAAACATTATTTGGATAATTGGTAAAAAAAAATAAAAATGTAAGTATCTTAACCCTACTGTTAGACCTACCTGAAACACTAAAAAGCAATTTATTTAATTCGAAGGCCTATCGTTATTTTTTATTTGTGCTATCATTATTAATTTCTTTATTTGTTCTTATTTTATTACTGACTGCTTACTTGTCATTTTTTATTCAATTCAAAGTTTGAAATCAAGCTATCTCGTGCTACTGCACCAAAATTACCCAACTGTAAAATAAAAAAAACACTGAGTGAGCAAAAATTTGTGAGATAGCTAGTTATAATGGTAATTAAACAATGTTTACATATGTATAAAAGCCTACATTAAAATCTGTCATATAAATTGGTCTCTTCATTAGAAATTAGCCTACTGATTATCACCATTGATGGACAACATTTTTTAATAATATAAAAAATATCTGTATGACATTATATTCTGCAGTTCTTCCCTGTTGTACCGAATATCTAAATTATCATATTGAAGTTAGAAATTCAAATATTGTGATAAAATTAATTTTGTAGGGTGCCACAAGTTTGTTAAAATTTCCAAAGGGTGCCGCGACTAAAAAAAATGTTGGGAAACACAGTTCTACATCATCTGGGTTTTATGTTGACTCCAAGTCCCTTATTTGTGAACAATAATATTTGTAGGTCCCATGACTTTTCCCATTTTTACTGGATGAGGATAAATCATTTTTACTCAATTTCTATGGAGGACCAAATCTGCAGAAATTAAAATCAAATAAATATATAGATAAATAAATAAAATGACAGGAAAATAAATAAAGGAATAAATGACTTGATAAAAACTAATTTAGTTTGTAATAAAATGTAACCCTGAATTATAATTTTTTTTTATTACTTTTTCCTTTATGTATTATATTATTTTATGTATATATTTTTGCATTTATTTTAATATAATTTATTTATGTATGCATTTATTTATTCCCACGTGTATTTATTTCCAGATTTATTTATTCATTTATTTCTTCTTACTTTTCCGTGTGCAATTGAGGGAGGCGGTCCTTGCGGAGCTCCGGTGAATCATTGGTTGAGAGCTCACGCAGAAGGTCAGAGCAAACTAACGATAGAGATCGGAGTTTGTGTAATCAACTGTAGAGTTGCAAGATATTTTCACAGATTCACGTTATGTCGAATTATTTTATAGCAAATTAATTCACCTACTTATCCTGACAGTTTCATCATTAAGTCCATCAACGTCGTTGATGAGTTTCTAGTTTGATGACGCCTCTAGACACACTTGGTAGAGGTTTCTAAGGCTTGTGTTCATTTTGTAATTACAGAGAAAACACTCCCAAAAGCATTAAGTTGATCGTAAAACAGTTGCATCAAAGATTTGGAATCGCGGCCCACTGCCATAAAGTTGGCTTGACGTTGGACTTTCGATAGTCGCAAGTGTAGGGACCGTCTCTAAAGTTACATACGACATACATTAGATTTGTGATATTTTGTTAAAATAAACTGTCAAATTATATCTAACTATTGCTAAATATACCTGATTCGTAGATGAACACTTTACAATTGGTTTTGTAACGGTAAGTCATTCTCTTCAAATGCTATTGAAATTAAAATCATGTATACCAATGTCGTATTTAACTTTAGAGATGGTCCCTAAACTTGCGAATATAGACGTCAACTGCCAGTGGGCCGCGATTCCAAAAAGCATTGTGAGCCTGAGTAGACCATAGGTCTACCTAGGTCCTTTGGTGCAACTGGTTTACGACTGCATTTAGGCGCACAATGCTTTTGGGAGTCACGATTTTCTCTGTGTAATTCGACATAATAATGTGAATCTGTGAAAAAATCTTGCAACTCTGCAGTTGATCCCACAAACTCCGATCTCTAGTTTGATCTGACGCTTCTGCGGGAGCTCTCTCAACCAATGATTCACCGGAGCTCCGCAAAGACCGCCTCCCTCATTTCCATGCTGCACACAGAAAAGTAAAAATAAATAAATGAATAAATAAATTAATCTGGGAATAAATAAATAAATATAAAAAATAAATAAACGCATGAATAAATACATTTAAAATATATAAATACATAAATAAATATAAAAATAAATGATAAGTAAATAAAACTTCAAAAGAATAAAAATAAATACAGAAAATAATACATATAAGAAAAAGGTCATAAAAATAAATTCAGGATTACATTTTATTACAAATAAACTATATTTGTTTTTATCGAGTCGTTTATTTCTTTATTTTCCTGTTATTTATTTATGTATTATTTCTGCAGGTTTGGTCCTCCATAAATTTCTACCTAATTAAATTGATATTTTATGACTTTTTAATACTGTATTGATCTATAAGTTTTTCAGGCTTAGTTTGGAAGTTTGCAGAGGCCCCCTTGTGTGCCCGGCCCCCTGGTTGAGAACCACTGTTCTAGATGAAGTTTTAGCATTAAAGACCCACATTTTGAAAGTGCAAGTAGTATGTTCAGTATTTCAATTTCCACTGTTTCTTTTTCCTTCCTTTTGTATTGCAGCTCCATGTGGAGGCAATCTGACTGGTCCCAGTGGACTGATCCTGTCCCCGGAATACCCAGAGCCTTATCCTCATGGCAGAGAATGTGACTGGACAGTATCAGTAATGCCAGATCACATCATATCACTCACTTTTAATCAGTAAGATTGTTTTTTAAAACTAAAGTCTCCCATTTTCCTGTAGTTACATTACCATATTATACTATACAGTGTTATTTTTCTAATATTTATCATTTTAGATTTATTTCAATTAACGGAAACTATTTTAATAGTAGTTTAATAGTTTTAGTTACAATAACAATGCTGGTTGTTTATAGTTATAGCATACATGTTTACTTCTTCCCACTAGCTTTAGTTTAGAGCCAAGCTACGACTTCCTGCACGTCTACGATGGGCCTGATTCTCTCAGCCCTCTGCTGGGCAGCTTTTATGGCACGGACGTCCCTGAGCGCATTGAGAGCAGCTCCAACACTCTCTTCATGGCCTTCCGCAGTGACGCCTCACTCAGCAGCAATGGATTTGTCCTGCAGTACACTGGTATGTTGCCCCCTTGAGGTGGGAGGAATAAGTTGCATTCTTTCCCATTTTGTAGGAACTTTCTGTGCCTGTATTGCATGAGAATTTTGTTAAAAAGTAGTATCAGAATTACCTTAATTTTCCATTTGTCTTTGTTCTTTGACTTTTGTGCTTTTGTTTCTGTAGTGTGCCGTACTGCAACAGCACTTTGACTGTTGCCTTGATCACCCCCTCCTGCTCGTACCGCTTTCATGTAGCATATAATTATCGACCCGTGGCACTTCTCGCAGTTGTTTAGAGAAGAATTATGAAAATGAAAAGCCAGAATGCACTCACTAAAGCTGACATTTGATCAATGTTTTGCTGTCACACTAAAGGCTCAGCACAAATGAGAACAAATGTGAGTTTGCTGTCTCTGTATGCGCCCTGCTGACCTCACTTTGTTTGATGACACTTTGGCTTATTAGTTTATTCATGAAATGACAGACTTGTCCGATCAGACACAGCAGTATCCCAAATCAGTACTCGCCAAGAGTCCGAAACAGGGTAAAATTTGCCTTTGGCAAGCAAGTAAAACAGAGATACCGACAAAACTGCCACAATTCTTCTATGATCCTTGCCTCAGTGAACCATCAGAAATCTATATAAATGCCTTATTTTTTTCTTTATAGACCTCCTTGTGTTGAAAATTATGTAGAATGTGAAGATATATATGTAAAATTAATATAATAATAACAAAATCACAATGTTTTTGTGCTATGTGCAGTTTTACTAAGGCACTGATACTGTTTCCTATAATAATTCATATATGGCACTTTTACCTATTTTTGGAAAAAGTAAGGAAAAGTAGCATGCTATTCAAAAAAGTTGCTGTCTTTTTTTATAGTAATTCATACTTTTATTCAGCAGGGATGCGTTAAATTGATTGATAGTGTCATTAAAGACATTTACATTGTAACAAAATATTTCTATTTAAAATAAATGACGTTTTTAATGTTCTATTCATTAAAGAATCCTGAAAAAAAAAAGTTTCCTCAAAAATGTTAAGCACCACATCTGTTTAACATTACATTTACATGTTATTATTACATGTACACTAAACATGTACATTACGTTTAGTCATTTAGCAGATGCTTTTATCCAAAGCGACTTACAAATGAGGAAAAAAATTATGAATCATTAATAATAATATGTTTCTTGAGCGGCAAATCTAAATATTAGAATCATATTTGAAGGGTCATGTGCCACTGAACAGAAGAATAAAGACTAGACAAATAAGTTGCATTTTAAAATATATTTAAAAAATAAAGAAGTTGAAAAAATGTTTCACAATAGTACTGTTTTTACAGTATTTTTGATCAAATAAATGCAGCCTTTATACTTGTAAGAGACTAAGCAACACCAAACTTTTGAACGGTAGTGTATAAATTAATTAATTTATTAATTTTGTAAATATGGTGAAATTAACACTGGTCTCATGGCGTCCAGTTAGACAAATGTTTCAGAACAACAACAGCAGCTACCACATTGATGCTTTTACACTCCATGTTTGTTATTCATGCTTTTTACAGTCTCTGTCAATGAACTTAACGTGAACCACAATAGAACACTACCTACTGATGGCCGTCGCTGGCATGCAGTGGTCAGAGTCAGAGAGAGAGAGAGAGAGACCGTGCTCTATAGATCACCCTCTGTTGTGCTTGGTGAATGAGGAACAGTATTCTCTCAATCTGGTGCAGCAGATGGACACAGTGTGTGGCACTTCTAAAGCCCCAGTTCCAGACCCCAGTCTCCTCACAATGAATTAGTATAAACTAATAATGTGGAAGCAAATCATAAACACACAAAAATTGTGTTTGTTTCAGCTTAACCCTGACAGAAGTGTTAGTTTAGCCAGTCTGACATTGGGTCACATTGGTTCATCTGCGCGTTCCGCTGCTGTTGGAACGAGCTTCAGGTGCTGTCAACCTCTTTACAGACCAATCAGCTTCTCACAGACCCCCAACTGCGTCTGATTGGCCTCTGAGGTGCAATATGTGGGTCATGGCTCTGCACGCTTGACCGACAGTTAAATAAACACCACACACACATACACACTCCATTGCTCGTCCAGAGTGTTTCCTGCCAGCTCAAACATTTGTCATGTCCAAATGCACGAACACACACTAATACGCAACCTCATCAATGGACACCTGAGCTAGACTTTAAGACTGGCTGTGGTCCACTCTTAATTACTGTCCGTCCCGCACTCGTCTTGTTAGAGTGGTGAGGAGCCAGTTGTAGGAAGATTAACTGAGTTATGGACCGTCTGGAGCGCCGGCCACAGCATACAGATTGCGGCCAGTATCAATATGCTATTGGGCCACGAAGGGAACGGCATCAGAACGAACATTGCAGTGTAACTATGTTTGGAAGTAATATCTCAATAAGAACTGCATGCAACCCATTTTTTGCTGTGCGATGCAGATGTGTAGTAAGAATGATTGATTTCTAATTTTGGCCAAAGTATGCGGTGTGCACCGTATACATGTCCTGCTGGGTGATGGACTGTTTTGTGTAGTCAGCCGACCTGATCTAGCCCAGTGTCACTTTTAATATGCCCTGGGTCGGCCGTTCATGCTGCACAGGGCATGTAGGTTGCTGTGGCATATTTTTGGATTGTGAATTGGTGAAAGCATCTGCGTGCGCTCATTTGAAGCACCTTTGAAGGGCACTTATTCACACAAAGAGCCTCCTCTGTCTTTTTTCTTCTATTTTTAGCTCATGAGAGTCTGAGTTGTGATTATTTTGAGAAACATTTCAACATAGCCTCTCCAGTACTGACCTTTCATAGTATCTACAGCTGTTGGTTCTTCACAACCTGCACAAGCAGGCTTCTTCTTCTTGCTAATATTATTATTATTATGTGAAAACTTAATTTGATTGATGTTTGCAGAATCATTCAATGGGTATAGAAAAGAATTACCTTTAAAATAATCACATTTTGGATGTTATAAGTTACATTGAGTAAATAGAGCTTGATAAAAGAAAAACTGTGTCCGTATTCATTTCAGGCTGCAAAGCAACAAAATGTGATTATTTTAAAGGGGGTGATTCTTTTCTATACCCACTGGATATGAGAAGACTATTATGTCATTAAAAGTTTTTACAGATGTTTTATTTAGTATATGATTTGCATGTCTTAGATTTGAAACATGTTACACTGTAGTTCCAAATAAAATCACTCACCATTTGGCGAGTGACTACATTATTTACCCGACAAAGCCAGTTTTTTACTTACATTAGCTGTTTGGCGAGTATGTGTATATATAAAGGTCCCTGTGCACACTGGATTATCAGTCTTTCACAAATAACTATAAATCATTATATCTTCCTGCCTTTTCTTCTTTATCCCTCTCACCATACTTTCTGTTTCTTTTCCTCAACAGAAAATCCCAGAGAGTCGTGCTTTGAGCCAGGCATGGTGCGTAATGGTACTCGTGTTGGTACTGAGCTGAAGCTGGGGGCAACTGTCACCTATTACTGTGACAACGGCTATACGCTGGAGGGAGATGCCACTCTCACTTGCATCATGGGGGGAGACGGCAAGCCCGGCTGGAACAAACCAAAACCTGTTTGCATAGGTAAAAACGCAACACAAATTTTTGTTCAAGCTTTTGTTCAGTAACCATATATGCTCTTACATTGTCAAAAACCTGGTGTTTGTCACATCTGCTGCCGTTCCCTTGGAAATAAGCAAAGGCTCAACTTTGCAATGTAACCTTGAAGGAATACTTTGAACACACTGCAATTTCACTTCAGCAAACACTGGGGACATCTAGCAGGGCAGCTCAGGAATCAGACAAGAAAAGTAATTTAATCAGCAGAATGAGGGAATGGCAGAGAGGAGATGGGGAGGACAGAATATTAGTCTCTAATGCTTTCTTTCTGTGGCTGTCCCTCTTGCTCAGCTCTGTGCGGTGGTCAGTATTCAGGGTTGGAGGGGGTGGTGCTCTCCCCTGGTTATCCTGGAAACTACAGCAGCGGCAGGACTTGCCTGTACTCCGTCATTGTGCCGAAAGACTATGGTAAGTAAGCACATGTGTAAACATACTATACATACACACAGTAATATTCATGAACTTATGTGGCATTACAACCAAGGAAGTCTACAGTGTAATGGGAACGCTTACTGTTAGTATTCCCATTTATCTCAGTAATTTGAATGGCGTCTCAGGAAATGCACACAGTCCTAAACCTTTCAATAGCAACTAGTGTTGCACGATATACCGGTACTAAAAAGGTATCGCGATACCCCACTTTTAAAAACAGTACGATTCCTCATTTTACTACCGGTACTTTAAGAATGACAGTGTTTTAATAAAAGACGTATTTTCTGAGTTGCGTCGACGTGCGACAGCAGGACAGTGTGTGTTCAGCGCTCTGCTTCAGCTCCCTGCATAAACACTGGCTGTGCCAAACTTTATATGTCAGCGCAGCACTGCTTAAAGTTATCGACAGTTTAGGAGTGAATGAGAAACATGCATGAATGAGAAAATAATTGATGATAAAAAGAGTTAAGTGCAATAAACCTTGAAAAAGAACTCGCGTGCGATCACACACCTGAAGCACGTGCATGGGAGTCCTCTCTCTCGCAGACAGCATACAATCCCGAGTTCAGATCTCTTTCAGCAGTTACTGTGCTTCAGCGGTCAAATACACACACAATTATGTTAAAATGCCCTTCTTGGTTTATGACTGAAATGAACAAAAACAGCTGAGAAAGAAAACGCGTGTGTGTGTCAATAAATTGGGTCCATGCAGCTCTTAAAAGTGACAGTAGACTAATATTCTTGCTGCTGTCTGTCTCTACATTGTTAATCAAGAAAAATATAAAATCACTCACTAATATTGACTAACTTTACTAGCTTTAATAAGGATAAATGTATGTATGTTTCATTCATATAGTGAAGACTATGCAGTGCTTTACTTTTACATTTTGATTACTTTATTCAGTTTCCGGATCATCTCTTTCTTGAATGCTACTGTTAAATAGACCTACTGTACCTAAAAACACAGTTTATTTAATTTGGGTCTTTGTTTTATTGTATTTGTTATTTTATCTGTTGCGCGCATCTATGTTATCTTATTATTAATAACAAAAATGACTATATCATGATGTAAATTGTTATTGTGAAATAAAATTACTCCTAGCATTGAATAATATCATATGGTATTTCCCACCCCTACCAAATGCCCTAAGCTAACTTACCAATGTTGCAAAGATCTATACATGCTTGTAGGCTCGGCTGTATCATAGTCATTACCTGGTTGTTGCTCACCATAGGCCTGTGTGGTCAAGTGAGAGATTTCTCTCTTTACCTTTTTTTTTATTCTTTTTTTTCATAGTATCGGTTCAGTAGTAGTATTCAAGATATTTTAGTCAGGTATCATATCAAAGTCAAAATTTTGGTATCTAGAACACTAATAGCAATTATCCTGAGAAGAGATGTCAAAGACAGGGAGAAATTGAAATCCTTTCATGTGTTTACCAGCCTTGCAAACACATCAGGCATTGTAAAATCATCTAATATATATATATATATATTTTAAAATGCAATATTTATGTTGTTTACAAAATAATCTGAATGCACAGCTATGTTTGAATGGTTGTCAATGCTTTTTGGAACTACATTTTGCAGTTTCAGCATCTACAGGGGCTAATGAGATTATCCAATCCAGTACACCATGTCTGAATCAGGCATGCAAGGGCATAAAGGGCTAAATCACAGCCACCAACAGCAAATTTTGGGTTGTTTCTTGGTATCTATTTTCATTGCATCATTCTGGATAGCACCAACAGTAACTCATTGGTCAAAAATACAAACAGAATGTGTTCTGGTTGACTTGATTTATCACTCAGAACTTATGTCACAATTAGTTAGGACGATGAGTTACAGTGAATGTATATTCATCTTAAAACCCAATAGAATGCATATGTGCTTATGGTGACCCATACTCGGAATTAGTGCTCTGCATTTATCCCATCCAAAGTGCACACACACAGCAGTGAACACAACTTATTCACACAAAGAGCCTCCTCTGTCTTTTTTCTTCTATTTTTAGCTCATGAGAGTCTGAGTTGTGATTATTTTGAGAAACATTTCAACATAGCCTCTCCAGTACTGACCTTTCATAGTATCTACAGCTGTTGGTTCTTCACAACCTGCACAAGCAGGCTTCTTCTTCTTGCTAATATTATTATTATTATGTGAAAACTTAATTTGATTGATGTTTGCAGAATCATTCAATGGGTATAGAAAAGAATTACCTTTAAAATAATCACATTTTGGATGTTATAAGTTACATTGAGTAAATAGAGCTTGATAAAAGAAAAACTGTGTCCGTATTCATTTCAGGCTGCAAAGCAACAAAATGTGATTATTTTAAAGGGGGTGATTCTTTTCTATACCCACTGGATATGAGAAGACTATTATGTCATTAAAAGTTTTTACAGATGTTTTATTTAGTATATGATTTGCATGTCTTAGATTTGAAACATGTTACACTGTAGTTCCAAATAAAATCACTCACCATTTGGCGAGTGACTACATTATTTACCCGACAAAGCCAGTTTTTTACTTACATTAGCTGTTTGGCGAGTATGTGTATATATAAAGGTCCCTGTGCACACTGGATTATCAGTCTTTCACAAATAACTATAAATCATTATATCTTCCTGCCTTTTCTTCTTTATCCCTCTCACCATACTTTCTGTTTCTTTTCCTCAACAGAAAATCCCAGAGAGTCGTGCTTTGAGCCAGGCATGGTGCGTAATGGTACTCGTGTTGGTACTGAGCTGAAGCTGGGGGCAACTGTCACCTATTACTGTGACAACGGCTATACGCTGGAGGGAGATGCCACTCTCACTTGCATCATGGGGGGAGACGGCAAGCCCGGCTGGAACAAACCAAAACCTGTTTGCATAGGTAAAAACGCAACACAAATTTTTGTTCAAGCTTTTGTTCAGTAACCATATATGCTCTTACATTGTCAAAAACCTGGTGTTTGTCACATCTGCTGCCGTTCCCTTGGAAATAAGCAAAGGCTCAACTTTGCAATGTAACCTTGAAGGAATACTTTGAACACACTGCAATTTCACTTCAGCAAACACTGGGGACATCTAGCAGGGCAGCTCAGGAATCAGACAAGAAAAGTAATTTAATCAGCAGAATGAGGGAATGGCAGAGAGAAGATGGGGAGGACAGAATATTAGTCTCTAATGCTTTCTTTCTGTGGCTGTCCCTCTTGCTCAGCTCTGTGCGGTGGTCAGTATTCAGGGTTGGAGGGGGTGGTGCTCTCCCCTGGTTATCCTGGAAACTACAGCAGCGGCAGGACTTGCCTGTACTCCGTCATTGTGCCGAAAGACTATGGTAAGTAAGCACATGTGTAAACATACTATACATACACACAGTAATATTCATGAACTTATGTGGCATTACAACCAAGGAAGTCTACAGTGTAATGGGAACGCTTACTGTTAGTATTCCCATTTATCTCAGTAATTTGAATGGCGTCTCAGGAAATGCACACAGTCCTAAACCTTTCAATAGCAACTAGTGTTGCACGATATACCGGTACTAAAAAGGTATCGCGATACCCCACTTTTAAAAACAGTACGATTCCTCATTTTACTACCGGTACTTTAAGAATGACAGTGTTTTAATAAAAGACGTATTTTCTGAGTTGCGTCGACGTGCGACAGCAGGACAGTGTGTGTTCAGCGCTCTGCTTCAGCTCCCTGCATAAACACTGGCTGTGCCAAACTTTATATGTCAGCGCAGCACTGCTTAAAGTTATCGACAGTTTAGGAGTGAATGAGAAACATGCATGAATGAGAAAATAATTGATGATAAAAAGAGTTAAGTGCAATAAACCTTGAAAAAGAACTCGCGTGCGATCACACACCTGAAGCACGTGCATGGGAGTCCTCTCTCTCGCAGACAGCATACAATCCCGAGTTCAGATCTCTTTCAGCAGTTACTGTGCTTCAGCGGTCAAATACACACACAATTATGTTAAAATGCCCTTCTTGGTTTATGACTGAAATGAACAAAAACAGCTGAGAAAGAAAACGCGTGTGTGTGTCAATAAATTGGGTCCATGCAGCTCTTAAAAGTGACAGTAGACTAATATTCTTGCTGCTGTCTGTCTCTACATTGTTAATCAAGAAAAATATAAAATCACTCACTAATATTGACTAACTTTACTAGCTTTAATAAGGATAAATGTATGTATGTTTCATTCATATAGTGAAGACTATGCAGTGCTTTACTTTTACATTTTGATTACTTTATTCAGTTTCCGGATCATCTCTTTCTTGAATGCTACTGTTAAATAGACCTACTGTACCTAAAAACACAGTTTATTTAATTTGGGTCTTTGTTTTATTGTATTTGTTATTTTATCTGTTGCGCGCATCTATGTTATCTTATTATTAATAACAAAAATGACTATATCATGATGTAAATTGTTATTGTGAAATAAAATTACTCCTAGCATTGAATAATATCATATGGTATTTCCCACCCCTACCAAATGCCCTAAGCTAACTTACCAATGTTGCAAAGATCTATACATGCTTGTAGGCTCGGCTGTATCATAGTCATTACCTGGTTGTTGCTCACCATAGGCCTGTGTGGTCAAGTGAGAGATTTCTCTCTTTACCTTTTTTTTTATTCTTTTTTTTCATAGTATCGGTTCAGTAGTAGTATTCAAGATATTTTAGTCAGGTATCATATCAAAGTCAAAATTTTGGTATCTAGAACACTAATAGCAATTATCCTGAGAAGAGATGTCAAAGACAGGGAGAAATTGAAATCCTTTCATGTGTTTACCAGCCTTGCAAACACATCAGGCATTGTAAAATCATCTAATATATATATATATATATTTTAAAATGCAATATTTATGTTGTTTACAAAATAATCTGAATGCACAGCTATGTTTGAATGGTTGTCAATGCTTTTTGGAACTACATTTTGCAGTTTCAGCATCTACAGGGGCTAATGAGATTATCCAATCCAGTACACCATGTCTGAATCAGGCATGCAAGGGCATAAAGGGCTAAATCACAGCCACCAACAGCAAATTTTGGGTTGTTTCTTGGTATCTATTTTCATTGCATCATTCTGGATAGCACCAACAGTAACTCATTGGTCAAAAATACAAACAGAATGCGTTCTGGTTGACTTGATTTATCACTCAGAACTTATGTCACAATTAGTTAGGACGATGAGTTACAGTGAATGTATATTCATCTTAAAACCCAATAGAATGCATATGTGCTTATGGTGACCCATACTCGGAATTAGTGCTCTGCATTTATCCCATCCAAAGTGCACACACACAGCAGTGAACACACTCACACCGGAACACACACCTACAATCCCTGCCGGTATGAGACTCGAACCCACAACCTTTGGTTACTCTCTAACCATTAGGCCACGACTCCCCCTAATATATACTACATATAGTATAAGATGGTTCACATTCCACAAGATGGTTCACTCATATTCTGTACAATATAGTGGAAGTCTTGCCTTCTAAATAAAAGATGCAATCGTCAATTGGTCGTCACATCACTCCAGATGTCATTAGATACTCCAGTTCCCATAAAAACAGTATGCATAGAAGACTGCACATGCATGTCGGCTGGACCAACCTGAAATATGCCCTGTTTTAATGATATTTGAGCATAATAAACAACATTTATGGGACAGTTCATGTCTTATTTTATTGCTGCTTTAAATGTTATGGTTTTGTGATTTCAGTATCCCCACATTTAAGTAGTTGGACTTGCAAATTGCAAATTGGCCGCCGAGTAAACTGAAAGGGACTTTGACCTGTATTGCCCTTCTTTCAGGGCTATAGATGGATATCCCCTCATATAACCCCAGCAGCTTCTATTTGACCACAGGACCCTTTTATTTGATCCATAAAACACGGAGGTCGTTTGGCCAGTTTGGGGTTCCTACAGAGTGTGAATTAGCAGAGGAGAGCCTATCTGTATTTTGTCTGGGTCAAGCCAAATGTTGTGGAAGCAGAGCTAATTAAGGCACAAATTTCCGTAGGCATGTCATAATGGTTTCAAACAGCTGTGGGATAGGGAGCATCGCAACACAGGGTTTCTTTTTTATGGCTCTCATTTGGAAATTTAATCTACTAAGCACCAGGTGTCTATAGAGAGGACATCAGGTGGTTCACAGGTGTGATTAGGTTCTGTCTTTTACTATTGAATTAACATTTGCAGAGTCATGGTTTTAGCTGCATAGTTCATAGTTTTGATGTAATTATGTCTTTACTTTTTCTCTTTATCTCTCTGCAGTGGTGTTCAGCCAATTTGCATTCTTCCAGACTGCACTAAATGATGTTGTGGAGGTGTATGATGGGCCTACCCAGCATGCCCGTGTCCTGAGTTCTCTCTCTGGGGCCCACACAGGTCAGTAAACCTTTCTCGAGCAGTATTAACTTGACTCTGTTGGTCTATACTGGCATTAGGAGATGAATGCTAAAGAGGCTGCATTCAGACCTAAAGGTAAATAGAAGTCAATTAAGCAACTCAATTACCAAGATGAGTTGCATCTAAAAGTAAAAGAGACATAAGCCTGTGCGATTCTCAAATACAAAAATTGAAAGCTGAAGTCGGAATTGTAAGAATAATGGCTCCTACTGTATGGTATGTGGAAAGTGGTACATAAAATGAGTAGTACCACAGAATTTTCATTTTTGGGTGGACTATCCTTTAAGATTTAAGATAATTTAAGATTGATTAGTAGACTAGTTCAGACAACCCACTTTATGTATTTATGTATGTATGTATGCTTGTTTTTTTACATACCTAATCTCTGAATGTGAAGCCCATGAATGTCAATGCATGTATGCTGATTTGGTGCTTAAGAAAATATAAATATTTTGTAACATTATAAATGCCTTTACTGTTACCTATTATTTAAAAAAAAAAAAAAAAAACGTACCTACCCCAAACTTAAAAACAAAACAAAGCATTATAAACAGTATAACCATTTTTGAACATATGGCTTAACTTTAACTAAATTTATTTATTTATTTATTTATTTAATGTAGTTTTGCACACACATTCTCTGAATGTCAAGGTCTGTAAATTTTTTTTATTATAATTTTTTTTTTTTAATTAAAACAAAAAAGTGACACATTTCAGCTTTAAATCGTTAAAGTTGCCTCAGTACTTGTGTATCATCTCCTGAGTTCTTAATTATCAGAACATACAATGACGTACATGAGCGATAATGATGTACTCAAGAGAATAAAATGCATAACAAGCTTGATGACTCATACAGTCTTAACAAACAGATTTCACTGGATCCAGTAAATAGAGCTCTCTTCCTTAAAACAGATAAGAAAACAGAATCAAATAAGCATAAACAGACTAGCTAAATAGATCCCCGGTGAGACAGCGAGGCTGAAAGCTTTTATTCAGCCATAATAGAGTTCCGTTTAATGTGGTCAGTTGAGGAGATTTCGGCTCGAAGATTAACAGGGTTTTCTCGCTCGATCTCTCTGCTTCTGACATTCCCATGACAACGCAGATGAGCTGTGTACATTTCTATTTTTTCTTCACCCTTCACACCAGTCAAACACCCATGATTAGCATATGGCGTGAAGCCCTTCGCTCAAGGAAGGTGAACCGCTCAGAGCATATATACTATCTGAGATGCGCTTTTTAACTTCAGATGCCAGTGTGAAATCAGTGAAGTGTGCTGGGGGCTGCTGGAAATAATGCACACTTTGGAGCGTGAATAGAGAGCAGGGAATAGTCAAGATTGATACTGGGCCGCATAAAACAGCAGATTTTCTATTAACTTTCTGTGCTGCACAGAGAAGGGAAACAAGAGTTGCTGTATGTCACAACTGTTATACGCACAGTTGTCAGTTTTGATGGATGTTGCTCAACTTTCTCAGAAAATCATGTACAGGGAATGAATAATCTGCACAAGCGAACAGCAAGTTTCAATTGAAGTCGTCCTCTGTGAATTAACTGTTGGAAACTTATTTTAAACAATAGACAAGGATTCTGTTCCCTTATAGACAGAAAAAGGCCTTTTGCTGCCCATATTAACAAGCTACCATGGAAGTCTATTTTATCGCACAGTTACCTTTATACTATTACTGAGACAGAAACATGTGATTTAAGTAGGTCTTAGCAACACTTTGGATTTGGGTTTCATTCTGTGGAGATTAAATACCATTTGAATGTAAATGTGTTCCTCATGTAAATCAAGTTTGTAGTCATTTTTTATATTAATATTCTTATTCTTCTATAAACTCCCAATAAGCATTTTATAATTTATGGCTATAATTAAAAGAAGTCCTAAATGTCTCACATGGTCAAAATAGAATTGTATATACTACCATCTAACAGCTTGTGGCCGGTAAGGTTAATGCTTATGCTCCGATATAATTTGATCGTAACAGTAATATAACAGTAATACTATGAAATATTATTACAATTTAAAATAACTGTTTTCAGTTTAATTTATTTTAAAATGTAATGCATTCCTGTGATGGCAAAGTTTTACTAAGTTAAAATTTTACTCCGGTCTTCAGTGTCACACAATCCTTTAGAAATCATTCTAATATACAGATTTGGTGCTCAAAAATTAAAATATTTTGTAACATTATAAATGTTTTTATAAAAATTATATATTTACTGTTACCTATTATTTTCGTAAAAAAAAAAAAAAAAAAAAACCTTACTTGCCCCAAACTTTCAAACAAAACAGAGCATTATATACACTATTAAAGGGGTCATATGATGCTGCTAAAAATAACATTATTTTGTGTATTTGGTGTAATGAAATGTGTTTATGCGGTTTAAGGTTAAAAAAATACATTATTTTCCACATACTGTACGTTATTGTTTCTCCTCTATGCCCCGCCTTTCTGAAACGCGTCGATTTTTACAAAGCTCATCAGTCTGAAAAAGCAAGGTGTGCTCTGATTGGCCAGCTATCCAGTGCGTTGTGATTGGCCGAATACCTCAAGCGTGTGACGGAAATGTTACGTCTCTTACCATATTGTGATGCCTGCGGCAACCACATGTGACGACCCCGGACTGGACTCCGCTTCGTCCACAGTGAAAACGGATCCGGCAATCCACAGCGCAAAGTTGAAGTATTTCCTCAGCAACCAGCACGGATCAGCTCCAGGCATGACTAAGCAATATCGTCCTCTTTTGGAAGGCCAAACAAAGTAGTTTTGCTTTCACAACGAAGCACACAGCACCTTCACAACATGGCGGCGGCGGCAACAATACTACAGCGAGAATAAAAGTTACGCCTTCTTTCTTTGCGTGAACATTATCATATCTCTTTGGATTTGAGACTTTAGTCTTTGCAACTTTACAGATCTTCTTTATGCACCAAGAGCTTGTAACACTCCAAAGAGAAAGAGAAAGAAAAAATTTAAATCGCATCATATGACCCTTTTAACATTTGCAATCATAGGACTTAAGCTTAACTAAATTTGTGAATGCATTTTTGGTTCCCATCACATTTGATCCTTCAGTTTCAGTGGGGACTCAGAACTAAACGAGAAAAATGGTAGGCCTAAGTCAAAAATAAAACACACAAATTAGGCTAATGGTATTAATTATAAGCTCTATAAACATTTGGAGCCTAACTGCATTTGTGATTTTTCATTCCTCAGTAAATCCCTCGAAGTCTTCCTCCTCCATATCACTGTTAAAGAGCTCAGCCAACTCCGGAGGTAGACAAACTGGCATGCCCACCTCTGTCGAGTCATCAGATTCGACATTGTGATCCTCAATGACACCAGTCTGCTGGAATCCTGCCAGGATGGTGTCGAGGCCATGTCAATCCGCTCCACAACATCCTTGAATGTTGCATGATGCATCCTCCCGGAGGTGAAGCTGTGGTCACCATACTGGTTTTCCACAACTGACATTGTGGTGTAGTGTGACACGGGCCTAATAGTTTCAAGCAGCACTGCAGAATAATGTTGCCATCGGAAGAAACAGCAGGTGTGAATAAATCAGCGGTCAGGGTTTCCCCACACCTCTACCTCGACTGGATTATTACTATAGCTGTCACTCTGTCGGCCACCAACGGAAACTTGTTCTAATAACATCCCACACGCAGGAGCGTTGGTCGATCCCAACATGACCGAAAGTGTTGTGCGGTTTCATCTTCTCTGGCCACTGCATGAATTTTTCAACACCGACCCTGCTCTCTGCAAACCCCTGTGGAGCTCGACTGTGCCCCATGGAACTGTGGGTAGATTCAAAGCCTCAGCCCACACACCACATCACAGAAATCACATACGCTAATGATGAGCGATGCATTTTGATATAGGGATTATTAATAGACCTGGGCTTGGAAACATTCAAAATATAAAAGTAAAATAATTTCAAACTGATGTTAATATAAACAGACATGGACTGTTTCTTTTTTAATACAATGTTGAATGTGAGCGATACGGCAATTGCATTTCCAATGGGATAGTTTACCACAAATGAAAATTATGTAATTATTTGCTTACCCTCATGTCTTTCCCAATCTGAATGCTGTAAGTTATTAGATTTTTTTAATGCTTCTGGAAGATATTACGAAGCCACAGCCATATCACCCTGCAGCCCAAGACTGGTTACCCACTGAAGCTAAGCAGGGTTGAGCCTGGTCAGTACCTGGATGGGAGACCTCCTGGGAAAACTAGAATTCTGCTGGAAGAGGTGTTAGTGAGGCCAGCAGGGGGTGCTCACGCTGTGGTCTGTATGGGTCCTAATGCCCCAGTATAGTGACGGGGACACTCCTGACTGTCCTTTGGATGAGACGTTAAACTGAGCTCCTGACTCTCTGTGGTCATTAAAAATCCCATGGAACTTCTCGTAAAGAGTAGGGGTGTAACCCCGATGTCCTGGCCAAATTCCCTCCACTGGCCCTTGTCAATCATGGTCTCCTAATAATCCCCATCCACTGAATTGGCTCTATCTCGCGCTCCTCTCCACCTGTAGCTGGTGTGTGGTGAGTGCACTGGCGCCGTTGTACTGTGGCCGCCGTCGCATCATCCAGGTGGATGCTGCATACTGGTGGTGGTTGAGAAGAGACCCCCTCATATGATTGTAAAGCGCTTTGGGTGTACAGCAATACACAAAAGTGCTATATAAATGCCTCATTCATTCATATTATCTATACAGCAGCAGTTTAGAGTGGCCACAACACTCTATCACATCTACTCATGCAATGAATTCCAGGGCATATGAAGTCATTGTTCATTGATAATCTTCACCTCCACTGCTGCTCTCAAACAAATATGGCATCTGTGGCAGGTCAATAACATCAAATGTCATTGGTTTTAGAATGTCGCCAAATGTCATGACATCTTGTTTGTACTTTCAGGTGAATCTTTGCCACTAGCCACCTCCAACCAGATCCTTATCCGCTTCTCTTCCAAGGGCCAGTCGAGCTCAAGAGGGTTCCACCTGGTCTACCAAGGTAAGTTGAGAGTTTCGAGTTCTCTTCCTGTATTGCAAAAGTGGTTTTCATTTATTTTTTTTATTAAAGGGGGCATAACACACACAGTTTCACCCAATCTCATGTTAATCTTGAGTACCTATAGAGTAGTACTGCATCCTTCATATCTCCAAAAAGTCTTTAGTTTTATCATATTTATAAAAGAAATATACAGCTTTACGATTCTCTCCGGAAAAAGCCGAGCTCCTGGAGGCGCGCCGTGGGCGGAGCTAAAGAGTGACGAGCACTTGAGCGCCAAATGCCAACAAAACAGATATTTGATGCCGTTTCACTTACCATCTGCAGTTCCAGGTCATGACCGGGATCTTTTATAGCTGGGACCGCTCCATCTTTCAGTATCAAATGATGTGCAAAGCCAGCGTCGAACTGGGCCTTGTTTATAAAACGGTCGTCAACAAACACACTTCTTTGGAGACATTCTTCCTGACTGAGTCCCGTGCAGTGTTGCTGCCGGATGAAGCTCTTTGATGGGCGCGATCTCGCTCTCGCTTTGGTCGATATGTGCACGGGCACGCTATTCTGGGAGAAATGCCCATATAAGGAGTTCCACCCTCGTCTACATCATGAAGAGCCACGATCGAAAAAAAACTCTCCAAAACTTGTATGACCCCGGAAGTAAGATTTTTAGCACAGAAATACGTCCAAATTGTTTTTTGAAACTTTGTCCATGCTTAGCACGAGAATCCAACTCTTTAACAGTGTAAACAACTCTGAACGCATGAAACAGCATTGTATCCCCCGCCCTAGGGTTGTGTGCCTTTTAGAACTGAGTTGAGAATGCCTTTTTAACTTCTAATTTTAAATTGAGAATTTGGCAGAAAATATTTAAACTGAAATGAGATTCCAAAAAAGCAACAGTTATTTGTATAATTTTTTTTTCAAATAATATTGATATTTTAATAATAATAATAATACGATATGATTATATTTATAATATTTGTATTACCCATATGCTGTATTTCCAGAAATTGTATGCGATATAAATTTAAAATACTCCCTTTATATGGTAATGGTAATGTTGTAATTTGTTAACCTTATTTGATTGGTAACCTTATTGATGTAAAATGCATGTTAATTTCATATAGGCTCAAGTTCATTAAATAATATTAACAGAGACATGTTTTGATTTTAATAATATATTAGTAAATGTTGAAATGAACATGTGTTTTACATTACTAATATACATACACACTATTTACACAACTTACATTATTATTTCCCATGAATTCACCCATTTTAACCCAAAGTCTCCAAATGTTTGAAATCTTCTGATGGACACTTTGAATTTCTTCTCATTTCATTTCATTAAATTCAGGTTCAACATCTTAAAATGTCTCGATCATGAACTGGAAGGAAACCAATTGTTACGTTCTCAGTTGTGGCCAAGCCTACTATTAACTGCACAAATGTTGTGTGTGGGACATTCCTATCATAACTTGTGGTTATGTGAAGCAGTCAGTTCTGATTGAGACAGGCGCAGTCATCTGAATTAGGTACTGAATTATTCAAACAATGTGCCCATGGTCTTTCTTTCTCTCTCAGACACATACACACACACATATATTACAAACAATGCTTTAAATGTGATGTACCTCTTTGGCAGCCATGGGGCCTCCTGTTAAAATGTGCTTTAACAGCCTGCGTCTTTCTCTATAATAGATAGCAGGGTTTTTAGGAGCTAAAGCAGCGTTATTGTATTATCTTACCTCCCCTGTGGTCTACAGTCGTATGCTTGTTCATTTCCTGCCGTGTCCTTAAAAGTACAGCATCTTATAAAAGTGTTAAAAGTAGTGGTGTTCTGGGACATTCCAACCAGCTGTGTGCACTGTTCCTACTGTGTGGTTCACACTTAAAGTGCCAGTTTCACTAACAATCTGGTACATGACTGCATGTATTATGTATTGCAAAGAATTTCTCACTTGGCAGGTGCCGTAAGGTCCTGAAGGTCTTTTGTTTGTACAAGTTAATCTAACAGTGGTGCATTTATTTGCTTTAGCTGTCCCGAGAACCAGTGCGACACAGTGTAGCTCAGTCCCAGAGCCCAGACACGGAAGGCGCACAGGGAACAACTTTGCAGTGGGAGCCGTGGTGAGTTTTGAATGCAATGCAGGATACGTCCTGGAGGGGCCCAGTGCCATCGAGTGCCTGACTGTACCCAACGCTCTGGCCCAGTGGAACGGCAGCATGCCCAGCTGCATTGGTAAGAGCACTATCACCTCACACTTCTCTCACCTTCCACGATCATCATTCCAACAAGAGCCAGATGTTGAGTGAGCTCACCCATCTAGTATGTTGATGAGCAGGGGTCTCAAATTCAAATTACCTAGGGACCACTAGCCGGGTGGTGTGCTCTATTGGGTGCAAACACATATACAAGTGTTTTTACAAACATGAATTTGAACTATATTCAGTTATTGGCACAGCTGAACAGTTATCGATGCATGTACAGACCATTTTGGAGGTTTACTTACTCCATTTAGTTGGGTAAGGTTGCTTAGATTGAAATCCTTAGAGGTTTCCGTCTCATTAGGACACCAGAAGCATCTCAGTTTGGCTTTAATATAATGTCAGTTATATCAAATATCATTATTTATTTATTAAATGCAGGCATTTATTTATATCTACATTTGTATTTTATTAAAGAAATAAATATTTTCATTATTTATTAATAAATGAATACATTAAACATATTAGCACAAAACGTTTACAGCAACAAGTTCACACATAATGTTTATAAAAATGATGGGCAAAATATAAATAACAAAAACAACCAGGACACATACATGTAGGTATTTAATTTAGTGTTAATTAATACATTAAATACATTTTTTTTTTAAATGGCTATAGAAATATATCTATCCAATTATTAATTTGTGTATTTATTATTATTCATTAAGTATGTATATATTGTATTAATAATATCTTTGTTATATTTAGCATATGTATAGCTGAAATATAGTGCAAAAATAAATAAATCAAGTATTTAGTCAGGTGGCCGAAAAATATATACATAAATACATACAAAGAGCCAGGACATATAGGTATTTCATTTGTTTAAATGATTGTTTATTTATACATTAAATTTAAAATATAAAGACAAAAAATTTAACGCAACTAACGGGGTCTGTGCACAAGCGTAGTTTGAGTGAAGCTAGGATTGATAAGCCAACAGTTATAAGCTTGTTACTTTAATAACCCTGCGTTTCTAATGTTCCTGTGGATTTAGCTACGGTAATTCATGTTTAATATAGCTTAATATAATCATATATAATATAAAACAACCACAATTATCATACCAGTAATTTCCCCTGTACTTTCTATCCACAATATGTTGCAAATTATGCATAGCATTTAAGTTCATAATGGAGGACCCTTGTGTGAACATTCTCCTATTGATTTCAATTCAGTCGTTTTTTTTCAAAGCAGAACACTTGTTTGTATAATCGGGCCATAGTACATTTAATCAAAAGGGGAGAAAAAAGAAAAGCATGAAATATGAATATAAATATATATATTAATATTAAATCATGAAATATTAAAATATTAGTATACAGATTTTACGTTACACTGAAAATGGACACGTTGCTAACTACTGTAGCTTAGCAGCAACAGATTAAACCGGTAGTTGTGTATAACTTGATTTAAAGACTTTGAATCCCTTGTTCCACTTGTGTGCTTGTGCACAGAGCCCATTCACAGTTTCTAAAAAATATTAAAATGTAATTATTCATAATTATTATATATAAACATATGTAAATATTCATAATTATATATAAAATAAATAGAAACAAGACATCCATCTACTGAAGGCACAGCTCCTCAATGGGTACTTCTAGAGTAAATAATGACATTGTAGGGATAATGGGAGCAATGCAGCTTTGTCAGTTTTCCTTGGAAATTTTATGAAATAGTACAACTTTTTTTTTTTCAGTTAGTAGATCTTACACTTGCTTAAGTGATGCATGTTTACTTGCGTCCCCATCCTCAAAGCGTTTGCTTGGATGAGCACTGTGTTAGATTCACATCACAGCTCTGGTGGTTTTCCTGTGGGGACACAGAGCAAACAGACTCCTGCTCCTCTTGAGAGAGAACCGTCACCAGCAAACTCTCCCTGTGCCTAACGAGCAACGGCACACAGCTGTGGGCCAGCAGTCATGGCCTCCAGCGTGTCACACATCCACAAATGTGCACATGTGGCAGATGTTGCCGCAGGTATCTGTGTGTACACACTCAGATATCCACACTCATGTGCAGCTGTTTACATGTGCGCTTCACTGCAGCTACCAGATGCTTGACCACAGGAGCTGCATGAGGAAGAAGGTGGTGTCCTGGAAGATTACAAATGCCTTTCCATATTGTAGGCGGTTTGTGTGCTTTTCCTTCTTTACCCGCTCTTGCATCATTTTGTGTTTTTGTCTGTGCTACAGTGCCATGTGGAGGGAATCTAACCCAGCGGATAGGCACTATTCTGTCCCCTGGATATCCTGAGCCCTACCTGAACAGCCTGAGCTGCGTATGGAAGATCAGCGTGCCAGAGGGAATGGGAATCCAGGTTCGGTCCTTCTAGCAACAATAGAACACCATTTCCCCCCTTTTCTAAGGCCATTATGAATCAGAGCATGTGAGCGAAGCGGAGCGGTGTGACGCTCCGCTATGTTTTGCGCTCTATGGACGCGCGCTCCGCTCAGTCGCTCTAACCGCCCAAGCAAGCGCTCCGTTAATATTCCTCTCACGCTCACCGTGAACCAATTTCCGCTCAGATCCCGCTCCGACATAAAATTTCTCTAGTAGGCCTAATTGTTTACTGTTTGTAACGAAATTCTTGGATTATTGTCTAAAATTAAGCATGCTGATAAATAGCAATTATCATGTTTCAGAGCGAAATTCTTACATTCTTCTTAATTTTATTAATTGTAATGTATTAATTAAAATGTATTAAATATATGAATCTAACCTTAGCAAACCTACCTAAAATGCAAAAACTGAAAAAGTGCATTTGATTTTCGTTAACTTTATTTCCGTGAAAATAGCTGCAGTTGTTGTGCAATAGAACATTCAAAACAGGCTAATTAAAACACAAACGCACACACACGAGATGAAATGTGTGTAGATCTTTACAAAATACACCTGGATTATAAAGCCTGTGAAAAGCACACGCAAGATAAAATGCACTTAAAGAACGCTTGGTTTATGAACTGACGTCAATGAAAGAAACACACTTTCTAGTGTCAAGTTAAAATAAACCATAACTGCGGGGAACTGTGGTCTATTAAAACATCTCTTGATGTTTACTGGATTTTAGAATTAACTTTAAGAAACATTCGTAGCACATCCTCCTGCTTTCTGGCAATGTGCCGCTTCAGATTCCAATATGAATCATTACTAACTCTCCCCGCACTCCCTCTCAGTTTCTTCTCCCTGCTCATTCTTAACTTACTTTACTTTACATTTATGTATAAGGCTTGCAACTTCGTTGAAACAATATCTGAACTCCATAACTGCTCTACTATTCTCGATCTCTACAGATTCTCGATCTCGAACAAGCAAATCACCAAACGGCATTCTGGGTTGAGCGAGCGGCACTGAGCGTTTTGAGCGAGCGGAGCGGAATCTTCAGAAAGGCGCTCTGCGCTCTTAAGGAAATATTACCACTCCGCTCACGCTCCGCTCACATGCTCTGTTATTAATACAAATGAATACAAAACATGTTAAGTATATTTTGCTCTCCAAGGCAGCATTTACAGTATTTGATACAGTATACAAAAATACAGTAAAAATAGAAGTATTGTGAAATATTATTGCAATTTAAAGTACTGTGACTATTTTGCTATATTTCAAAAATGTAAATTATTCTTGTAAAGGTAAAGCTGAATTTTCAGGAGCCATTACATATGTTGTGCATAAGAAGCATTTCTTATTATTGTGCTACTGTGGAAACAGTGATACTTTTTGGATGAATAGAAAGTAAAAAAAAAAGCATTTGCTTGAATTTTTTTTTTTTACATTGTATATGTCTTAACTATCAATTTTGATCAACTTATTGCATCTTTGCTGAATAAAAGTATTAATTTCTTTCAAAAAAATCGTACTGACCCCAAACGCAGCAGCCGAACTTCCCATCAAAACAGCATAGCATTCAGACACAATAAAGCACAATATGCTTTTTTCTTGTTCTTTTTTGGAAAAATTAATATGAATGCTTTTTGTTTGCTGATTGTCTGCGGTTGGTTTAAATGCCAAATTTATAAAAAGTTTATTCAACACTATATATAGACTAATTTATATTCAAGTGGGATTTTTTTCTCCTTGGGAAACTTATGATAATTTCAACTCCAGTCATATCAAATATGTCATGAATGTCACGTGGCATTTAATGGCATATTTTTAAAAGTATATATGGGCTAAGGTGGGCTATTATAGCCTATATGGGCCAAATACATGCTTTTAAAATATATGTTATAAATAAAATATTTAATATACACCACCATTCAAAAGAGGGTCGGTAAGATTTTTTTAATGGTTTTGAAACAAATCTCTTCTGCTCAGTAAGGTTGCATTTATTTGATCAAAAATACAGTGAAACAATAAATCTACAATTTAAAAGAACTGCTTTCTATATTTTAAAATGTGTTTTTCCTTTCATGCTAAAGCTCCATTAATCCAGCTTTCAGTGTCACATGATCCTTCAGAAATCATGCTGATTGCTGCTCAAGAAACATTTCTTATTATTATAGCTGTTATATATGGCTGAAATGGTTATGAAGCTTAATAAAATGTGTGGAGTTGTTTTAATTTTTTTTAAATATAAATTTGAAATGAAAAATAGATGCACATGTAAAATGCAAGACATGGAACATATCAGCTGTAATGCTGCGTTCAAGTCCTCCTGGGATGTTCGTACTTACGAGTTGACAAGTCGTAATTACAACGTCAGGTGCGTTCAAGTCAGTTTAGTCGGCACAAGATGGCGGTGTACCTTTTTTTTTTTATAAATTACAAGAAAATACAACAGGGTCTGCATTTTTTTACTTGGATTTCAGCTGCGTAACAAGAACGTGACCAATTTAAGTTTATAGGACAACTAAACTATCAATTTAAACAAAAATTTACTGTCAACTACAGACGTTGCATCCATCTATTCCGCCATTTTTCTCATTGACACGCCCCCAACTCGGAAACTCGGGGCTTAAAGAAAATTTCGAGTTTCCCACTCGTAATAACGACTTTGTGGTGGCGTTCATGTGCGTTCAACTCGTAAATACAATCTATCCGACATGACTTGAACGCACATCAAAGGCAAAAGACCGTAAACTTAGATTTTTGTCGAAAATTAGTTATTGATATTTTTGGGACATTCGAGATATCCTTTATCTTGTGTATAAGTATCTTGAGTCAATTTCGTTGTTTTTCCGAGAAAATAATGGGACGTCTCAACCGTAACTTTGAAAAGCCCCGGAGAAGCCAAGGCAGAACACCGTATAACATCAGTTACGGCTCTTTCACTTTGTTTGGAACACTCAAATTGAGTTACGGCATTCTGCCTTTGTTTAGCCGCGCGTCAATATGAAATTACGGTGCCGGCTTGGAGTTATACGTTGTTCTGCATTTGTTTTACTGTCCATTAATGTCACCACATTTTAATTACGGTGTAGACAAACGAATTAGATAGATTGCAATCTACCAAACAGCTCCATATAACAAAGCACTGTAAAGACTAGATACTTGGCAGAAATACGTAATCGTGAATAACCTTTAAAGATGTTTTTTTTTTCTTTTTGTAATGCAGATTATTCACCAGGCTGTCAGTTGGACGCGTGTGGACTCGAATGCCGTAGCTAGCATGATCAATCATAAAATCAGTAGCCTACTAACAGTTCGCAATTAAACCCATATCCTACCTTTTCTTGTAAACCAATAAAATCAATCCATGGCGATGAACGTCATCGGAGATCTTTAATCCACAAGCATTCTGAGCATCATTCCTGCTTGCTGGCGTTCACATCAATCTACAAGTCATTATTTTAGTTTAGGCTATTTCATACAAGTCAATATAAAAGCAACTATGCTATGTCTAGCATTATTTTACGTTACGGAGCATAGCAAATAAAATGGTATCCACTCACATGTTTAAATTTTAGTCTGCTTGTTATGGTCAAAAAAAAAAAAACATTAATACAGTCACATTTCTATATGCAATAGCCTATATGAGACAGCCCATGATCACTAGATTTTATTCAGGTGTTACTATAACGATTTTGTAAATGGTGATCAGCAACCAAATATTGATAATGTGGAAGTTACTGCCTTTTGCCTTGGTGTGACTTCTCACGTTTTGCAGACAGTGCAAAGACAGAGTACATTAACTTCAAAATCGGAGTAAAAATCAAGTTTGAGCTCACAATTTTTTAATGTAGATCATTTTCATTACTAAAACATGTAATTGTTAAATTTCCAGAGTCCTACCTATAATTAATTTGGCTGGACAAGTAAAAAACAAATTTTTCTCAGTTTCACACTCTAGCGAGTTAAGGTATTTTGCCTTTGTAGGGCAGCACAACACACTGACATACAAAAAAAAAAAAAAGATTTGAAATTTTATGGACAGTTCTGGTGCAAGAAACTATGGTGGAGAGAGACAGTATCAAAATATGTAACGAATCAACACTCTTATCTCTGTTACTGTGATTTTTCTAGCACTGCCAGAATTTTTCAGGGGTAAATTCAGTTGTATAATGCTGTTATCACTTCCTGTGCAGTGTGTACTGGGCTGAGTGTCACTACATATTCTTTGACACTTTTAAATGTGGTCACAGTAGAGCATTTAACAAGTCTTCAGTGCTTCAACTCGGTTACTTTTTTAGCCGTATCAATTTTTCATTTCAGTGCAGACCATAAAATTTTAGATTCTCAGGGAGAAGGCAGTTATAATCTTCATATTATGAACAGTATCGCTACAGCCATAACTTCCTCCAGTCATACTTCATAAATGTATTTAGGCGTTACCTTTTTGGCACCTCCACAAGCTGGTTGTAAAGAGCTTTTTGAGATTATTTGCCACCTACTGTGGGTGGCCGTCTCTCTAAGGGATGGATTTCAATCAATGATGCAATAATGGGTAACACTTTATTTTGATGGTCCCTTTTGAACATTCTGTTGACAATAAGTAATGTTGCACCTACATGCCTACTAACTCTCATCAGATTATTAGTAGACTGTTTGCTTAATATCTGCTAACTCCTTATTGTCATGGTCGCCTAACAGACATTGTACTGACTATAAGTAACTTTGCAAGTACGTCAACTTATTCTAACCCTAACCCTACCAGTCTACTGATACTCTACTAATACTCTAATGAGAGTTAGTAGACATGTAGGTGCAACGTTACTTATAGTCAACTGAATGTGTTAAAGGGACCATCAAAATAAAGTGAAACCTAATAAGGTAATATACAGTGGGTACGGAAAGTATTCAGACCCCCTTAAATTTTTCACTCTTTGTTATATTGCAGCCATTTGCTAAAATCATCAATCAAGTTAATTTTTTTCCTCATTAATGTACACACAGCACCCCATATTGATAGAAAAACACAGAATTGTTGACATTTTTGCAGATTTATTAAAAAAGAAAAACTGAAATATCACATGGTCCTTAGTATTCAGACCCTTTGCTGTGACACTCATATATTTAACTCAGGTGCTGTCCATTGAAAAACTTGTTGTATCTTTCCCAAAAAGACTCATGGCTGTATTGGATCAAAAGGGTGCTTCTACTAAATACTGAGCAAAGGGTCTGAATACTTAGGACCATGTGATATTTCAGTTTTTCTTTTTTAATAAATCTGCAAAAATGTCAACAATTCTGTGTTTTTCTGTCAATATGTGTTTGGGTGCTGTGTGTACGTTAATGAGGAAAAAAAATTAACTTAAATGATTTTAGCAAATGGCTGCAATATAATAAAGAGTGAAAAATTGAAGGGGGTCTGAATACTTTCCGTACCCACTGTGTGTATATATATATATATAATACATTATCGCATCTTTCATTATGTCTATTCTAAAATTAACTCCTGTAGCCTTTGCCTGTGGTTAATACAGCTAAAGCTGTAATACAGACTCTGTTGCAGGAGAAGACCTGATGAGACCTGACTATTAAAGTCAATATGAAATGGGCCCATGGCTGGTCCCTGAGGAACTTCTGAGCAGAGTCACATGTATTTACTGCTCTCATTAAATGCATACAGACATAGTCATTCCTTTCATTAGATTGAATTCCTTAGGGGTTTTATTCCCATTAGGACACCAGAAACTTCACAATTTGGCTTTAATACAATGTCAGTTATATTGAAATCATGTTTTTAAATACTGATATTTATTTATAAATATATCCGTCTTCTTCATGTCTTATTAATATCAACATTTTAAATGCAGCTATAAAAGGGTGAAAGTAGGCAAGATGAGCTGTGGTGCTTGAATACGAGTGATTTTTATTTATTTATTTATTTTTTCCTCCAAGTAGCATCTGCATCCATCTCTCCAGACTTGTCTCACACTGTTGGATACAAATGTAATCAAATATAGCTCTGAATCATGGGAGGAGTTCAGGACCGCTTACTTAATTGCCTTTAACCCAATTCATATACTTTTCACTGTAGGAGAAATGGAACCATGCAGGAGTGATTACAGCATCACCAAAAGTAAGAGAGACTGATATGAAGAGGCAGCGGTTTGAAAGGAAAGAGGTGCAGATTGGGAGACTTAAGAGAGATTCCTCTACAGCTTATTGTGCATATTTTTCTTCTGGTCTGTTGTCTGCTGGGCTTGGCAATATTTTTGATTAGCATTTTTCGTGCATTCAAATTTTATGTAAAAATATGTATAGTTAAATATTGCTGTGTAGTGCTATGCATTGCTAAATTGGTGCACATAAATTAAATGGTTTAAAAATCGTTCAAGTTTATTTAGTGAACAGTGTGGGAAATATGCCTTGATTATTTCTTAACTAGATTTTTGCTGTCATTTACTTTTTCACCTTTTCATGCCAATTTGTTTAAAATGCTTGTGCAGTAATTATTGCCAAAAGACTAAAAATACCAACAAAATGATACGTATGCACTTGTGGGTCTGTGAGCTGGATCATACTCATAATTTCTGCCAAGCCAAAAAGGAACAAATATCATTGAACAATTTAGTTTCAGGTCCATGTACACTTGTTTCATCTTTAAGTTTAGGAAAGAAGTAAAAAAATAGCTCTCAACTGATGCTATAGGGTGGATTGATGGTGTGTTTTTGTTTTGTGTCAGACAGACTGCTCATGATGGTCTGGATATAGAACTAACCCCCTCCCTCTCATGAAATTTCCAATTCACTATGTGAATCAAGCACAAATAAATGTGCCATTTGACAACAAGGCTATCAGATGTGACAATCTTCCAGCGATAGCCACAGTCATGCCACTGTGACCAGCCAATTTCTAGGCTTGTTTGAGGCTGGGGCGGAAAAATAAATGTCTACCAAAATATTTACAGGACTGAACATTGGAAAAACTATGTGAACAGCATATACAACAAATGCAGAAAAATGCATCTCAGATTTGAAGATGACATTTGAAGGGTTATATAACACATCAAATAGGCATTTTAAAATATCTTTATTTGGCACATTCTTGTAACTTTTCAAGACTCAAGCTATAAAAGAATATCATGCCTGATAGCCAAGTGCCTATAATATTTTTTTCAGTGCAATCCACTGATACTCACATAGAAGGAAGTTGCTGTATTATTTCCTTTGTTCTGTTCCTTTCTCTCAGATCCAGGTGATTAGCTTTGTGACTGAGCAGAACTGGGACTCTCTCGAGGTGTTTGATGGGGGTGACAGCACTGACACCATGCTGGGGAGCTTCTCAGGTGGGCTGTCTAATACTTCTATAACTCAGTTCATTACATAAACACATTGTCACAATCTTGCTTTTTTTTTTTTTTGCTTTGAATGCTTGGAATATTCCTATGTGGATGTCTGAGAAAAATGCACAGTTTGTCTTGCACAGAACTGTAGTTTTGCATCAATATTTAGACCACTGTATGATGTATGAACAGTTTATACATCATAAGAACAATTCTCTATTGTCGCCAATGCATTTGTGTTGCACAGTAGAGAAGTCTGAATTTTCCCTTTTATTGGCACAAAGAGCAGGCACAGATTTTACAAGTGCCCTAGAGAGAGATAAATGAATGATACATCCTAAAATGAATAACAGAGTACAGAGTGAAGACAAATGAGCCAATCATATCCACACACACTGAGCCATATGACTAAAAGAGCTGTATAAACTTCAGACGAATGCATGCTTAACGATTCTCATCTGCATTGGACTTTTAGAAATGAATGCTTAAGGAAAAACAGTGTGTAGTTTTATTGTATTTTACTTGACTTTTAAACAATAGTGCAGAGCACAATGTAAATTCAAAGACATCATAAAACTTGATATTCAGACAGTTGTTTTATATTTCAGAAATGTCTGTGTACTTGCCAAGTGAAAATAAATGCATGATGTTTGGTTTGCAACTTTGCTTTAATGTCATCTCATGTAAGATATGCATGATTTAAAATACTGTATGCAGAATAAGATAAAAACCTCCACATTATTCCATAGATATCTTAAATTGCTTGCGACAGTTCCATGCCTTTTTTTTCCACTTGTATCTTTAGTAGTTAGCCAAGGTTTTCATCTTATATTTTATTTCAGCTTTATTTTCAGCTTTGTTTAACAGAACCGATTTTAATTATTTTAGTTTTAGTTAACAATAACAATGTGAAGTGTACAAAGTTTAATTTGCCACTATCAAAAAAGATGTTTTGTACAAAAGTCAAGGACACATTGATTCAACTACATAACCACAATATGCTTACGGATTCGTTATTCTACAGGCACAACAGTTCCAGCCCTCTTAAACAGCACCTCCAACCAGCTCTACCTGCACTTCTTCTCAGACATCAGCGTCTCTGCAGCTGGTTTCCGTCTAGAATACAAGAGTAGGACATTTGTTGCGAGTCCTGTGCATCTGGACTACACACACATCTCTAAAAACTCAACTAGCTTTTGCATTCAACTTAATTCCTCTCTTTATTTGTCATGTTTTCTTGTTTTCTCTCACAGCTGTGTCCCTCACCAGCTGTCCTGAACCAGTAGTACCCATGAATGGCTTCAAAGTGGGCGAGAGACTCCAGATGAACAGTGTGGTGTCTTTCCAGTGTGACCCTGGATATACTCTGCAGGTGAGACTGAACTTGCCAAAAGTTGGACAAAACCGTGGACACAATGCAGCAGTCGTTGTTTCAGGACACAGAAGTTACATCAAGTGGTACATACAATAGTTAATTGTACAGAGTACCAAAAAATCTATAAAACGCTCTCGGTAGCAAATAATTAACTGCTCAAAACAATGTGGTCAGAGGAAACCATGATTAGTCTTGATTTGAGAGCATGTTATGCAACCTGGCCATGTTGGCACCTACCTAATTTGTCAAACTTTTATGGAAAATAAATGATTTTTCACAAAACTAGTGTAGAGTTTAACATTTCACATCAACAACAAAAAAATTTCCCCTGGGAAACTTATTTATTTTTCTCTGTGGACTGCTTACATTTATGTACTAGTAGTAATGCCAAGGTCATGTGTTCAAAAGACCTTGCAGTCTGTTTTTTTGGATACAATGTTGGTTGGAGAGATGGGGGCAGTGACAGTTAATGATTTTTCTGATGCCTGGCTCCATGTTGCTCATCTGCTTTTTTACATTTTCATTACCTGTTGGTGGTGCTGGGTAGATTACTTACAAATAGTAGTCCATTACTTAATGCAAATCACATGATGAAATTTGTAGTTAGTTACGTAATCTGTTACATTACATATTTTAGGTAATATAATCAGACTACTTTTTGATGACCTGAAAAAGCTCAAATATTATGCAATACAATAACTTATGAAAAATACAATAACTTATGAAAAATTTATGTATTTTATGCATATTAAGTAATCATGTAATGAATAAAAAAGTAACTGTAGTTTGATTATGAGTATTTGAAATGTATTTGAAAAGTATTTTACATATAATCAATTACTACCTCACACTGCCTGTTGGTCACTGCTGCTCGGGACAGTGTGCAAACCTGACAGCTATTTCGAGACAGTTTGAAATTAGTTTACATCTGCGATTAGTAGTAGCATAGACTCGCTCAGACTAGATGCAGACTTAAATCAAGAAAGGATTATGAGCTTCAGAACTTGGCTTAAGAAAGCCCAAAAATCTTAGGGGGGAAAAACTAAACTGGATGGTCAGAATGTGGCCAGTGTGAATAATGAATGAATGAATGGAAGTTTTTATTTTTTATCTTTGCAGGGAGTCTCCCATATCTCTTGCATGCCAGGGCCTGTGCGCCGCTGGAACTATCCGCCTCCTCTCTGCATCGGTAATAACTTCTGTCATCTTTATTCATTTATTTATTTTCTAAATCCTGGCTTCTACAGATTTATAAGTTCAGATCCACTACAGAGTCCAGAATGGTAAAGAACTGCACAGGTACTTATGTCTGTGTATACAGCAGCCCCAAAAACTACTCGGGCACTTAAACCACATTTAAAAATGTATGAATCTCACTGCATTAGGTAACAAATGATCAAACGAATGATGCTAGAGTGTTTCACAGAACTAACTTTGCTGAGAAATGTTTGCAGTTATTGCTTTTATCTAGCTGGTCCCAAACTGATTTGTAGTGGATGTATGATGTCAGTTCTTCTCAAGTTCACATAGATGTCCTAGCAGAATCGCCACATGTGTAGTTCATCTCATTTAACTATGAACAGGATGCCGTGTGACAAGTGCACTCGTGCCATCTTTCTTTAAAAAAATGCCATTTGGTTTGTTAATTTATGTAATGATTTGAAAGGAGCAGGGATCACATGATCAAAATAATAGCATTGCATGTTTCTTGAGAAAAACCTAATAGTGTCCTATTAGGTACTTATTAGTTCTATCTCCTGCTGTGATTGGCGGAGCTCTTGAGATGATTCATGGCTTGGGCGGTCATCAGCAGTTTCCTGATTCCTGCTACTTTTTCAAAGACATAGAGCACATTTTTAACCCCTACATTCAGGATCTGAAGCTTTGTAGGGCTTCTCAGTACATCCATAGGGTCTCTTTGAGTCCAAAGCCAAGGCTTTAATCAGAGTGATATTTGAATCAATCAGTAGTTTAGACTCAAAGCCTCGAAAGGAGGAGGGGATAGAGTATGCGTTTTCACTGATATGAGAAGATTGAAGGCTACAGAGGTGCTCGAGTGGCCTTTGATAGCTTTGGGAAGTGATTTGGCCTTTTTAATAAATGAAAGACTTATTTTTCCTATGATGTCAATTGAAAAGCTAATGTGTTACATTTCTTTATTCGGCACAAAGCTTTTAGGGTCACTGCACAAGGTAGACGGCATTGCTAAGCAACGTGAAACATCAATCGACTTGTAGCCCACACAGGTTGCTGAAGATATAACAGTACATTGCATGTTTACACATCTTTCCAAATGGATATATATCTTAATTAGTTAATTATATATCTTAATTGTTTATTATTAGAGGCAAATTAAAAGAATCTTGCTTACTTTCTTTCACAAGTAAAGTTCAAATTTTCTTGCTTCCATTAAAAGCAAAAGATGTATAATATTGCAGACATAACCAATTTAAAATCCTTTAACAAATTTAAAATCCATCTCATGTATATCACTTAATACATATCACATATAAATTAGATTTTGGGTAACAGTTTAGAACAATGCTCTGTCGTTAATTAATAACTACATAGGAACAAATTACTAATGCCCTAATAACATTCTAGTAACTACTATTAACTAACAAGAAACACTGATTAACGATTTAGTAAGTAATAGGGCTCAGTTGAAAGTGGTAGTTCACTATTAGCTAATCAGTAACTACTATTTTTTCATATATACAAGAGAACTACTAAGAGCTACTATACAGGTTCATAATTAATGCGAATTATGCATAATGTATAATTAATTCTTAAGTGAAGATCATGGTAACCCACTAGTAATGACTCAAGTATTACCAAATCCTTCTAAAGGCACTACTAATTATTTGAATCAGTATTCTAAAGTTAAAAGCATGATAATTCCCTATTGTTGACTGACGTCATTGTAAGCTTTTGAGATATATGTAAGGTTTTGGATAGTAATGACTCAAGTGTTACTACATCATTCTAAAGGAATTACTAATTACTTGGATCAGTATTCTAAAGTGAAGATCACGGTAACCCACTAGTAATGACTCAAGTATTACCAAATCCTTCTAAAGGCACTACTAATTATTTGAATCAGTATTCTAAAGTTAAAAGCATGATAATTCCCTATTGTTGACTGACGTCATTGTAAGCTTTTGAGATATATGTAAGGTTTTGGATAGTAATGACTCAAGTGTTACTACATCATTCTAAAGGAATTACTAATTACTTGGATCAGTATTCTAAAGTGAAGATCACGGTAACCCACTAGTAATGACTCAAGTGTTACTACATCATTCTAAAGGAATTACTAATTACTTGGATCAGTATTCTAAAGTGAAGATCACGGGAACCCACTAGTAATGACTCAAGTGTTACTACATCATTCTAAAGGAATTACTAATTACTTGGATCAGTATTCTAAAGTGAAGATCACGGGAACCCACTAGTAATGACTCAAGTGTTACCAAATCTAGAAAAAGGAATTACTATCCAGAATCTTACAAAAACCTCAAAAGCTTACATGATTTTGGTAATTACTAGAGAGTGATCGTGTTATTCACGTTAGAATACTGATCCAAGTTCCTTCTGAAGAATTTGGTAATACTTGAGTCATTACTAGTGGGTTACCATGACCTTCACTTTGGAATTAATTTAGAATTAATTATTAATAATTGCATTATGCATTACTCATTAATTATGAACCTGTTTACAGTAGTTCTTATTAGTTCTTATGGAGGTATGGAAAAAGTAGTAGTTTTCAATGCGCTCTTAGACTTTTGTATCCCACTCTACAAAAGCCTTGCTGGCTCACCAAAATAAAAAAGTTTGTTTTCAGGTCAGTGACAGCAATTTTCACTTTCAGTCATCTGCCATAAATATATACATATATTCCCACCAATCAAAAGAAGTGGAAATAGCCCGTTGGTCGTCTCATATCATTCTCCAATGATAGCCTGACAGCTGACCACTGTTTTTGTTCCGTTGTTTTTATTGGTCTTTAGAAGTACTTTAACCTTGAGCACAGCAGGGTTGGCTTACACCACGGTATGTGTTTTCTACAAATGAATGGTTCTAACACTGGTCCCACCATTTTTCTTTTCAGCTCAGTGTGGGGGAATCAGAGAAGTAATGGAAGGCACCATCCTCAGCCCTGGTTTCCCAGGAAACTACCCTAGCAACAGTGACTGCACCTGGAGGATTTACTTGCCAGTCGGTTACGGTGAGGACACAGCAGAATGAGCAGATGCTGTTTAGAAAGATTGTTGTTAATGGCAGCGAGTTCTAGTTTAAGATGAACTGGATAAAACTGGTAATGCTAACCATGATATTTTACTGGTTTGTTACTGGAAGTTACCAGAAATGGCAGCTGTAATGCATCAAATTCCTACCTTTTAGCTACTAATGCCAATCACATTTTTAATATTTCATTTTTAGTATAGAATATGCATGCATATTAGCTGGACAAGCCTGAATAAAATCATTTTTAGTGTGATTGAAGCTAAAAAAGCTAATTTGTTGATTCATTTGTTGTCTGATTTTGCTGCAGATTTGAAATATGATATAAAAATAATATCAGCAAACTTTTTGACTGTATGTCTATTGCGGTAACATTTGCAGTAACACAGATTAGCTGTATATTGAAGGAAAACTCTAGTTAATGGTGAATTCCCTAATCTAAAGTGTTACCCCTATTGCCTATATAAAAATAGCCGTTAGCAAGCTGGTTAGGATATTAATTTTGCTAAACACATTTTGTTTTCTAATACAAACAGGGGCTCATGTGCAGTTCTTGAACTTTTCCACTGAGGCCAACCATGATTTCCTGGAAATTAGGAATGGACCTTTTGACACCAGCACAGTGATTGGCAAATTCAGTGGGCAGGACTTACCACCATCTCTTCTAACCACTTCACATGAGACTACTATGTATTTCCATAGCGATCACTCTCAGAATAAGCCTGGCTTCAGATTTGATTATCAGGGTAAGGAAACTAAATAAGAAACTTTGAAAGTTTTCTTATCAAGATTAACCATTAAAAAAAAAAAGCCTCCACATATTGTTGTAGTTAGCATTGTTGTTGCAGTTCCGCCTTTGCACATTTATTTTCTCAGGAACCTCAATTTGAATGCCATTTTCAATACCTTGCCAAGACGATCAGTCAAGATAATGAGTAAACACGGTAATAACCCATTCTCTGTGAAGCTGTGCATAAAATCCATCAGGTATAAAATGCTGCTGATGCCAGAATCCAAAGTAGAATACGAGTCCAATGAGTGAATTTAAAATTGTCATAGAAATGGGCTTTTCTAGGATGGATCTGTGAAAGCTATCAGAATTTACACTATAATGCAATGACAATTTGCAGTATTGAAATGGCTTGTGAAATCAATATTTACATAATTATGTGTACATTAGCATATAAATCAAGCATTATATCTGTCAGTATTCCCTTTTGCAGTGTTTTGTAAGATGCTCTGATCCACAGAAATTAATTTCTTTAATTGTGGTCATTCAGTCTGAAAGCTTCAGCGTATTTCCTTTTGTCTATGAGATTTGAAAAATAATTTAGAAAAAGTTGTGTAACGAATCAGCTCATGACAGGAAATATGAATAATTAACCATAACTAGTTATGATTAATTATGAATATTTTAGATCCGCTGTAGATATTTAGCTGACCTCTCAGGGTCAACTGTCTTGTCAATTCTAAGAACGTTAATTTCCTGGTTAAGGGAAATAACTTTCTTACTGTACAATTCTACAAAAGCTTGTAGCGTAAATCTGCATGATTAGTGACTCCGGTTATGAGCAAACAATGAACACGTCAAGTGTGATACAAGTAAGGTTTTATTAACTACATAAACACTTAAACTAGTCCAACATACTACATAAACACATAAACTGGTCTAACAATAATGGCTCCAGACTCAGACAGAACTAATGAAAAGAAATATAAAGCATATGATTTTTTTTGTTTATTTCAAGATTTTTCTTCAAAATTAATTGAAAGACACAAAATATAGACAGGAAAAAAAATAAAGAAACGCAAAGACATCTTGACCCAGAGACAAAATGTGGTGATGTTTATGTGTTCTAGTGTTTTCACTGCCTGCAGTGAACATTGATCACTTGGTTGCATTGCCATGAATTTCAGACCTGCATGTCTGAGAGAAAGTTGTCGGAGCTTTGATTACATTTGCTTTGAATCAAATCCCAATGCTTGTTGGGGTACAGCAATCAGTTGATTCCATGCATATGGTTTACATGTAAAATTCACAGAATCTAAGTTTAGATTGGTGCTTGGAGCTCAGAGCAATTTTTCTTTTTTTGATGAAAGTTGATTTCTTTGAGGTGTCACAAAAGATGGACTTGGGCCTGGCTTTCTTCTACCAGGTTCATAAATAAATCATAAATTTTCTTCCCGTCTTTCATGTATCAATATGTCTTTTCCAGCCTATGAACTTCAAGAGTGTCCTGATCCTGAACCCTTCCGCAATGGTGTGGTGGTTGGGGCTGGTTATAATGTGGGTCAGTCCATCTCATTTGAGTGCTATCCAGGGTATCAGCTGATGGGACACTCCATTCTTACCTGTCAACATGGCACTACGCGCAACTGGGATCATCCGTTTCCTCGCTGTGAAGGTACGACCACCTCCATTTTCTCCCCCACACCAGTAAACATCTGGTATGCTTACTATTTGCATTCTGAGAGGACAGATTTTATTTAGTAACCAACCTAGTTTGTAATGTAATGTGTCAGATTTAATATACTACACATTGTCATGTAAAGCATTGATATTTTGGAGGTATAAATAATCTGAGTTACACACTGGAATGTGATTAATTCCATTCATTATAAACAAATATGAGTTTTAAAGGTTTTGTTCAGAACATGAAAATTCAGACATCACTTGAGCACCTTCACATCGTTCCAAAACTGTATGACTTTCTTTTCCCAGTAGAACACAAAAGGAGAGGTTTCACACCATGTTCACGCTGCTTGTTTTCATACAATGGAAGTGAATGGTGACCAGGGGCTGTCAAGCTCTACAAATAACAAAAAGTACTATAAAATAGTTTATACATAAATAATTTACTTAACTACTGGCAAATACTATATGTATGTTTAATTATTAGCTTTGTTCTCCCCATCGTCACTCCACCTTTGAATGTGGGGTCCAGGAGGGCAACTGCACATAAATGTAAATTATTTACTGTAAACCATCACTGCAGACTCAATGGCTTTATTCTAACATCTCCTCAAAAGGGGTGATGAGAAACGAATCGAGTTCATTCTTGACCCACATTATCATGCTCATTTTTCTGTTGATTCAATGAGTTAATTATTTAGCGGGTCACGAGGTAACATATGCACAGGGGATGCTGAATGCTCGTGTGGACGTAAAGACGGTCCAGGGAGGTACTCAATGGGCTGACATTGCATTTGCAGCCTCATCGTCTTGTTCAGGCGCCAGTGCTTTGCCCAGCATCACTGCACAGGTGAACCCGCAAATAGAAACACACATTATTCATCCGCTTTGTGTTATAATAATCCACACAAAGAAAATTTTAGTATCAACCTGGGCCTTTTTAGAACACTCTTGCACCATGCGTAATTGAATTTGTAGTAATCGAGCGCTCTGGTGTGAGAGTGAAAAAGGAAAGAATAGATATGATGCATCACACCCCCATGCTGTGTAATATGAACAGTCGAGATGAAAGATGTGACTATTTTTCTTTTAGACCATCTCAGCTGCTTGAAAGTCTCCTACTATAATATTTACATAAGTACCTCAGAACAATATTCTTCAGCTTTAGTGGATGTTTAACAGGTAAATGGCATTTTTGATGGGCTGCGAAGTCACAGCTAGATTTAAAATGAATGCATATTTTTATAATAGCTTTTAATACTGATAAAATCAACAGACAATGGGCATTTTCAAGCATCCTGATTATTTAGAATTTTATGGTGTCCATATAATAAACCCATACAATAATGGGTTTAAAGGTTAAATTCAGCCAAGGCTGACTGTATATTTGTTTGACATTTGAATATAATTGTTTATAGGCTGATCGTTGACCATGCGCACACTCAAGTTTGTCCATCTTTACTGATAGTAAAGAGCTCTATAGTGCTTTGACAGTGCATTGCTTTAGTTTAGGTCAAAGACTTTATGCTGTGGTGACTGATGAGATGTCTCTTTAGAGGCACAAATTACAAATTTAACACTGAAATTCACTTTATTGCCCGTTTTAAATTACATTTAAGTAGAATCAGGGACTCAAGTGAAGTACAAATTCTTACTAATAGAATTATAGTACAGTTACTAATAGAAGTATAGTACAAATTTTAAGTAAATTTTAAAATTATAAGTACTTCACACCCCTACTGCTCTAGGTATCATCTGCACGTGCTGCCACCAATAGTTCATGCCCAGGCTGTCATGTACATTGATTTCCTCTCCCAGGCGTTAGAAAGCTGATCGATTTTCTCTTCCTCTGCCCCACCTGTTCATATCAGCCTACTTGGCCTGTCCTCCATCTATGGCTCTCTCCTCATTTTTAGTTCACCACAGCCCCACATCCTCCCATCCCCACTCACCACTAAACTTTTTTTGCCCAATCGATAGCATCACCATGCATTTCTTCTTGATAGCGTGGCATGTTTTTTTTTTTTTTTTAAATCAATGCTGTGATCGATACTTCATTTAGCAAGTAAGGTGGCGAGAGAGAGCACATGGCACAAGGGATTAACATAGGCACCCCTCTCAGCATTCCCTCGGAGATGAGAGGAAATGGAGGAGGAAAGATTGCAGGAAGAATTGTAGAAGGATTTAGAGGGCGGGAATGAGTGGGGGGGGACCTTGATGGTGCAAGAAACTGCTGAGACTACAGTCAGAGCGAGAGTGTATTATGACAGTCCGAATGTGTGTGTACAAGTTGTGGGCCTATCTTTATTTCGCCAGCCGAATCGCATTGATTATTTCCCCTCCAACTTGGGGCAGCAGCAGCATGGGATCAGCAGGGACAGGAAGGGGATTTGATTTCATATGTCTGGGGCTCATTTGAATCATTGGAAACATGGACATGTCTATATAAATGCAAAGCACTGCTGCAAGAGGGATTTCTAAAGTGGAGTCAGACATGGAAAATGAACTACTGGGAACGACTGAGTGGTGTTTAGAACCCAGCGGGGATTTTCACCCGTGTCGCCCTGCCCCTGTCCTGGTTCCTGCGTTCTCCACTTCTCCACTATCTTGCTGTAACAAATTTCTGTGCAAGACTGCTTTCTGTGATTGTGTTTCTTTCATCTTTAGTTGCTACAAAAACAGTTTATTGGGGAGTTTTTCCATATCTAGATTTAAATTTTTGCCTTCTAGTGCCCTGCGGAGGTAACATTACATCAGACAATGGCACTATCTTCTCCCCCGGTTACCCAGAGGATTACTCCACTTCTGCGGACTGTAGCTGGCTGATTACGGTAGCACACGGCCTGGGCATCCGTCTTAATTTCACCCTCTTGCAAGTCCATGGCCCCCAAGATTTCATCACAGTCTGGTGAGTTGTCAAACTTCCTATTGCGATTATCCTTCTACACCTTGTCAGCTTCTCTTTCTCTCTCTGTCACTCTCTTTTCTGGGTGAGAACATATTTATAACGTACTCAGACTGATGATTAATTAATGAGCCTCTTTATTGAGTCGCTTGGGGCCTGTATGTACAGGTAGGACTTTGAACTCTGGTTTGTCGCGGGTTCCCCCTAAAACATGTTAGGCCAAAACGTGCAGTCTAAGCACACATCTTCTCGAAATTCATTGCCTCTCTTGAGACTGCAATTTTCTGTTTGGATTAACTGAGGAAGCATTGATCTTTCTGTACCTAGGATTCCCTACTCTCATATACTCTATTACATGCAGGGTTCATCCACTTCAAGTCATAGAGGTACAATATAACCAGAACAGCCAAGAAAAGCTCCATCAAACAGCTCCACTTCAGTGAGCCAGCACTCCCTTTAGCCAACCAGATGCTTTGCTGAATGCACAGGATAGGACATAATCTGTAGCACAAACTCAGGCAGTCACAAACAGATGGTTTTGAAGCCGAATGGTCATGGATTAGGGATTAGGTTGGTGCCAAGTTATTCCTTCACCATTAGAGGACTGTAAAGATGGAGATAAGCCCTAGGTGATGTCCTTGTAGATGGTGGCTTCGTACTTCGGAGCCTGTACTGAGCGTGAGAGAATGTAGCGCACTCCCTAAGAGAGTGTGTGTCTTTGAAATCAGAGAAGTAATCAGTATGGCTAGAATCGTCTCTAAAATCAGTAAAGTAATCAATATGCAGAGAAACTCTTCTCAAATCAGCCGGGGTGATCAATATGGGTGGGATCTGACTTACTGTGCATTTTTAGGCAACAAGGCATGTAGTGTTCTGCTGTAGCACTGAGTATGCAGTGTTAGCAGGTTTTATACGTTCAATTTTAATGTTGCATCTTAAACAGGGATGGACCACAGGAAACAGCCCGCAAACTTGGAGTGTTTACCGAAGGAGAGCCCAACAACCCACCAAGCAGCACGTCTAATCAAGTTCTGATACGTTTCCGAAGCTATTCTGAGAAAGGTGGACTGTTCAAGATCAACTACCAAGGTAACTAGTCCGAAAGAAAGCTACCATTAGCATTCCAATACATCTAAATAGCAGTTGCTTGATTGATGCAGGACTCCATGGAAATGTGTGACTAAACAAGTATTAAATAGTTGTAGTTGAGACCAGCTCAAGAACTGAGTTGGTTGAGTCAGATTCAAGATTGAAACCAAAAGAGGGTCGAGTCAGTGTCAAGACAGAGACCTGAAGAGGGTCTGAATGAATAAGACCATGAAATCTATCCACAGTGTTGTAGTACTCTAGACCAGACTCAATCTCGAGTCCCAGTCAAATGCACCTGAGTTCATGACAAGACCAAGAGCTTGAAAATATGGACTTGAGTACTATAACACTGCATGGGTGCTTAAAACAAAATACAGTTTTTTCAATCCAATGGAGCTGCAGGAAAATGACACGATAACACTGACTGGCACCACAACAGCCATGTCACACTTAAAAGTCCTCTAAAAATGAGAACTGGTTAAGCATGATTAAAATGGACCCATGAACTCTGACATCCAAATAATTCCACTTTGTGTCATATAGAACTGTCCTTTACCTTTACAATGGATACAACAGTGCAATATGACATGGCTGACACTTTACTTCTTTGTCTCTCTTTCTCTTCTAGCCTATAGACTTCAGTTTTGTTTGCCACCTCCTATCATTCCTAACGCAGAAATTCTGATGGCCAGTAAAGAATTTAAGATAGGTGAGTTTATATTGATTTTACATCATTTACAATCTGATTTGTATGCCTGCTTGTGTGCATTTGTGTTGGTGGGCTCGGCCTGGCCCAGTATAAGTGGAACATTTTGAGCAGAGACGCAGGCTGCCAGTTCATTTTCAGGCTTGAGCAGCTCTCATTAATAATGTTCCCAGAATAGCAGAGCCAGCCACACACACACCTCCCCCCCACCACTAACACCCCTCGAGAACTCACTTTGAGGAGAGAAAACCGCTAAGATGTCACGGCTACCAGTCCCATAGAGCCGTGCTGATATGCTGACTCATTGCCAGAATTCAGAACAGAGGCTGATGTTGCGTTGTGTTAAACATAGGTAGAGTTTACATTTACAGAGGTATTTAAACTCCAATTCAACTCCAAAAATTCCAGTAGCAGGTGAATTGAGAAAATGTAATATAATAGTTAAGAATATTTCTTAAATAATACTTTTTAATGTACTGTACATAGGCGGCACATGTAGCACAAACATGTAGTTTGTGCTACTTAAATAGCCATCACAATCACAGGAAATGTTTAAAAAGGAGTTTAAAAAGCAGAGCTTGAAGAAGTGTAGACTTTTTTAGACTCAGATATTTGTTTCTAATGAAATTAGTGATATTAGTTTAGTCGTAACTTCATCATTCTACCTACAACAACAACACTACTACTACTAATATTTTATTTATTTATAATATAAACACACTCAAACTATTATTTAATCAATTTTGGCTTTAGCACCTATGATAGATTATTATTATTATTATTATTATTAAACTTTTGCTCCCCCTACATTTTTTTTGAATAGTTTATTGAAGCTGTTGGTTTCACCTTCAGTTGAGTGTCCACAGAAAATCACGTACAAATAATAATGCAATCCTGACCTCACTGGTCCTCTGTCGCCTCTGAAATCCAATGTTAAATCAATGCACTGCTTTTCTGCCATGGGGGAAAAAATGCATTAATTGATATTAATTGTTTTAAATGGGTAGTTACGGGTCGGTGTAGGGTTGTTTGACCTCTCTGGAATGGAGCGTGTTTGTAGAGCCTCCGTCGGGGTTAAAGCAGTCATGGTCTTTGGCACTAACCTGCAGTGAATCACTGTTTTGATCACTTATTATCTACCACATCCAATTAATTTACTTAATTCAGTGATTGAACAAAGGCTGATGTGTTCAGATGGCCATGAACACATGCATTCACAGCCACAAACACATTCCTATATGTGAATTGCAAAGCATGCAAAGCCTCTTTTTTCTGCTCTAGCGTGTATTCCAATATTTCAGTGGAGTTAAATGCTATATTATGAAACCACTAGGTATTTTTGTTCCTCTTAGCTCAGTCACAGAGTGCCTGGGGGTTTGTGTAGCAACAGGGAGATTTGCTTCTAAGATGTGAGCGGCCCTCGGGTAGCAGCCGATGGGTGTTATGAATGTAAACCATGCTGTGAGGTGCTTCCTTAATTACACTGCAATGCAGCGGCGGCACGTTGAGTCTCCCTTTGCCTCTTTCCTGTTCCCTTTTTTCTTTTATCGTCACTGTCAGCCATTAAGCGAAACAGTGAGGGGACATGGCCTTCATCAAGTCATGAGTGAGGCAACAGCAGGAACAGCCAGATGCTGCTCCTGTTGTTCCGAGCTCCTCAGAAATCCCATGTTCTCCATAATATTTCAGAAGGTGACTTGCATCTGAAAGACAATTGATAAAGCAATGAATATGTCATCTGTTCACTCCCTGTCTTTCCACAGGTGATATTGTGCTTTACAGATGTCTCCCAGGATATCATCTGAATGGGAACAGCATTCAAACCTGTCGCTTGGGGACTCATCTTGAGTTTGAAGGACCTCCAACTTCATGTGATAGTAAGTCATAATGTTTAGTTTTTTTTTACTTGCAGAAGATCTCTTGACACCAGCATATGCAGTGTGTTGGTTCCCAGTATGGTATTTTTCTTTAGCTTAACCACTGAGACTCTTGGTCAACCAGGTTGATGATAAAGACCAATTTGGTTGGGTTTTGACATGATTATGCTGGTCCACCAGCTAAACCACCACTAAACCTAAACCAGCTTGAAACATCATCCTTTCTTTCTTCTGTGGAACAGAGAATGTGGTATTTTGAAGAATATCTCAACTGTATTTGTCCACACAATAGATTCATTTGGACTCCATTGTATGGAACAAAAAAAAAAAACAGAGCTTTTCCAACAGAAGTCATTTTAATTTCATTTTTGGTTAAACCATGGTTCCCTTTAAACAAACTATACTCACTGGGGTGCATTCACTAAACAGTTGCACCATACAGCAGTACTTTGATGTGAATATCTGCATCTTATTCACTAACCATAAGCATTTTAAAACATTGTTAGGGACTTCTCCCCTCTCCAGTCTTTTAGTTTATATACTATAAAATCCACCCCCATGTGTTGCAATGCATGATGGGTCTATTGATCATGATGGTTGGTTCTGTGCTATATGAAGCTTCATTATTGCTATTGGCTTAGAGATGGGATGAAATACCTCAGAGCCTGTCAAGCAAACCCCATGAGTATGGTAAACGCTCATCTACCTTTCATTCCAGCTGCGTTTATGTGATTTGATATGGCATTTCCCATAAACTCCCCCAGTTCCTCCTCATTATGTTTGTCTCTCTACTCACAGTGTAGAAGAATTATCTCTCTGAGCTCTCTACTCACAGTGTAGAAGAATTATCTCTCTGAGCTCTCTGTACTAGTCATCACTGTGTACAGTAGGTCTGACTGAAAGGCCGCTTTTTAATGTCCCGTTATGAATACACTGAGGCTCAAAAGTCTGAGACCACTAATGAAAATGCTTCAAATCTGTATAAAAAAAAAAAAAAACATTTTGCCATTAGAAATTATATAATCAACATAGTATTTAAAACAAAATGTTTAAAACTGTTTATTTCCCAGTTTAAATAGTATTATGAATCCCAAATTTTCATTGTGGTCTCATATTTTGAACCTCATTATATATCAAAACATACATAAGCTATCCCATCCTGTGTTTGGCCTCATCTGTGATGTAAATAAAAAGCAATTGGGCTGTTTTTTTACTGGAAGCAATTTGTGAGCTGCAGTACAGGTATTTGGTGGAAAATGATTAAGGCCTGTAGAAAAAAAGAAACAAAAATAGGCAAGCTTTATCATTTCCAGCGTAAGCATATGTCAGAGAGAACTGAAAGAGACCACCGGGGTTTCAGACAGTGTGAAGAGGGAGGACACGTTTGTAGCGTCTGGAACACTCCAACACACAATATATATTTTGTTAGCTAGATTTCACAAATACTTTGTAACACCCCAGGACGCCGAACAAGACCCTGGTTTCATGGTAACCCGATACATTTACAACCTTGTGGAATGCGAGCCGGCTCTCATTCTGTTTTCTCCAGAAACAAGGGGTACAAATGCACAGGAGAAATGGACTGTTCTACTAATTAATTCATAGGAAAACCTTCTTTGAATGAACACCCATTTTCTTCAGGCCATTGTGTATATTATTGCTGTGTTGTATTTAATCTGATCTGTTGTATTATAGACTATTTTTATCCGTGCTTACGATAAACCACACATTCATATAAGTAACTATTTCATGTCTAACATGTATCTGCTCAACCTTCATGGTGGAGTGCGCTCTCTTAACTTTTGTAATTCATCCTAACATTAATTAGGTGTTGACAGTTAATTGCCTCGGCTATAAGAAAATCCCCTTATACTGAGGGCCAACATAGCCAGCTGACACCCGCTCCATTTGGTCAGGGTGCTGCCTCTGTGTGTCAGTCACATTAAGTATGCCTGCCTCGTCAAACACCAGAGAGGGAACGAGACAGGAGGAGGAGGAAGAAAGCAATCGTATGCTTTATATCAGTCATTTGTTGAGAGAAACAGATCTGTTCTGATAGGATCAACAGGGAAGACAATGAAAATATGAATATTAAATTGTGACCAAAGTAAAGTTTGGTTACCAAAACAAATATGCTTAAATTACGTGATACACAATGTTGAATGGGTTGTATTTGCAATGGGTTTTTTTCTCTTTTTTTCAGAAAATAGGTCCAGTAACAAAAATAAAAGAGATCAAAGTACTGTACAAACTGAGATTTACCAAGCCTTTGATTTATATCACACTATTGTTTTCATCTTCAGTGGTAATGGGTAACTCTTTCCTTATCTATTGAAAATAGTTTACATTTTTCAGAAGACATATAACAGACATCATAATTGGTGGTACATAATTACCATAATGACAACATTCATATTATCTGTACAATTTTAATATTTCATATCATATTTTCTGTAAAATTATATTGGACAAAGTTAATTTGTTAACAACAGCATCTAATTATCTAATCAAAGGTGCAGTGAAAAATCCTGATGTATGAGAAATGTACAAATGTGTTTTTTATAGAGCACTTTGCGTTCTTTAAAATCTGCCCTTTTAATTCCAACAGTGCAATTTGTTCTAGAAAGTGAAAGAAAATTAAATGTTGCCATATGGCTATACTGTACCATAAATGGGGCAAAAGTGAGGACAAAATATTTTTAACCTTTCATAGTCTTTCCTGTTGTTGATGCCAAAGGCTGTGCATTCAGACTGTGTGGTATTTTGATACATTCTTTCATGTGATAGGATCTAGCCAATTTGTTCAAATTCCAACAGGGACAGGCTGTGTGATATGCTCTCATCTTCAAAAAACACTACATTAAAAAAAGACTACATTAAATACATGTTCACTTGCAATAAGAATAAAAAATGGTTTGTACATAATATACTTTTATGGAAATGATTGGCCTAATATAATAACTATTGAAAATTTGATTTGATTTAAGGACAGTTTTGTTTTCTGTTATCCTGGAGAACAAGTGTGAGCAAGTATACCGAGAGATAAACTGAGGGATTGAAAGAGTAGAGAGGAAGGACAGTGATGGGTAGAGGGAATGCAAAGCTCATTGAGATGCAGAGGATATCCAGGCTGCAGGTGCACCCAGCTATTAAATCACAGCTTCTCCCCATCTGTCTCTCTCTCTCTCTCTCTCTCTCTTCTCTCTCTTCTCTCTCTCTCTCTCTCTCTCTCTCTCTCTCTCTCTCTCTCTCTACCTGGCATCTGATCTGACACATCCTCTTTTTGAATACATCATTCCATAAAATATATCTCCTTACTTCTTTCAGCCTTCCTCTGATACAAGAAATCTCATCCAGAACTTTCTGTCTTCTACAGACATAATCAGATATACACAAACATGATGGCCTGATGAAACACTGTGCTCAACATTTTGTTTGATGAGCAGAAGATGCTTGATATTTAGTTGTTGTTGTTTTTTATTCCTGATTTGTTATATATGTTTCCAACAACCCTGGTTAATGATAACCCTGTTTCAAGCTGTCTGGCCAAAGCCAATCACAAAGGCAGTCACATTTGAAAACACTTATGCTGCATTGCTTTATGTCTTCCCTTCTTCTCTCAGTGTTCCCCTCTCTTTCTTGTTTTTTGTATCTCATACTCCAAGAGAGAGAAAATAGATATTTGAATGCTGAGAGTGCATCACGTGCCATTATGCAAATTAAGGGTAGGAGAATCTCACATGTAACTTAATTTCTTTAAATATGTACACACTCTCTAGACTTTCAGTGTTTATACTCAAATAAAATATGCTTTTCATCAGTGACACACAGCGACACATGGCGTTTAAGTGCTGTTTTCTTTCATTTATTTTCTTATTTATATGACTGCTGTTATTCAGTAATTTATAATTATTTGCAGCATTTTCCTCTTATTCAAAATTCTGAGAATGTATATAAAATATTCATGTTTATGTATTATGTCTGATATATCTTTCATAGATATGTATCATATGTCACTGCATGCATGTGAGAACTCACCTGAACACACTTTATACATGCACACAGTGCCACACTAATCTAGTAAAATTGTGTCTTTCATCTTTTGAATTCTAACAAATGGAGCTAGTACCTCCACATATCTTGCTCATTTTGAAATCCTGCTCTTCCTCATTATCAGACACCCAACATATATAATAAATGTGTGTATGTTTCATTTCAAAGCATTACTCTTTCTGGTTATTTTCAGTGATTTAATATCTCCCTATTAATTATAAAGTCCACTAGCGACTAGACATGTAATTGGACAAGATAGTCCTTAACTGACCCTTACAAATGTGTGACTTATCCTACCTTAGCGACTGTTCTGACTTATTATCAGACAAGCTTTTAATCTTGTCTAATGTCTGAGTCTGTGGCGAATCTGTATGTTTGGATTGTTTTAAACACCATTTTACATAAATGAACAAAAAAATATGGTAAAACATGCACTAATAGCCACACAAGGTACCCAGAGAGGATACACATGGTATTATTTTCACATCTTTCATATATTTCAAGAAATCTTTAAAGTTGATGCTGTGGATGAAATTGTGTAAAATGAACTATTGATTTTAATGTTTGAAGAGACTTTATTCTTATTGGACATTCAGCCTGAACTAGCAACAGTAATCAAGGGGGCGGAGCTTAACAAATGATAAATTATATGAAAACTGCATGTGGTGAACAGAACACAAGCCTATATTGGCAATTTGTGCGTGACATTTATCCCTTTCTTTGACATCATGAAATGAATGCTGTATGTTGCCATTTTTCTGAATGTATAATCTTGTGGGGGCCATATTTGCAATTCATTGTCATGAAGGGTGACATTTTAAGTTGAAAATCCCTTTTTAGATGCCAGCCGCTCTTTTACAGTAGATAATCTTCAGCTGCCATTGTTAGAGGAGCAGTTTTGACATGCCTTCTCCTCTTCTGTCAGAATCTGCCACCAAAACTGTTGTTTACATTCAGCCTTTGACAGTCCATTTCAAATTGGATTAGGGGATAAGGGCGACCTGAGCAAGTTAATTTCCGTTTGCCTCCATAGTGAAAGGCCTGGGGTGATGAGGATTTTGATGAGATTCTGTCTAGAGGGTCATGCTCTTCCACATTCTGTTGGGGCAGAATGGAATTAGGACTGGGCAGTGTGGCGGTAAAAATGCATCAGCTGGTAGCACAATATATCTGTGCTGCATATCAGCTATTTTGCAATGTTTTCAGTCTGCTTTTAACCCAAGTGTTACATTTTGTACTATTGACACGCATACACTACCGTTCATAGTGTCTGCCCGTCTGTCTATGCATCTATCCATTTAGAAATTATTTTTTTAATCGGGAGCATTAAATTGATGAACAGTAAGGACTTACATTACAAACAAATGCTGTTTTTCAGTTATAAATATATTTAAGTGCATAAAACATTTCCAGCAAAAAAATATGTATTGCTATATACAGTAATTGTTACTGAATTGTCATACTGCCCCACCTCTCCATCGAATATATAGTACATATAATATAGCCCTCAGCACAGATGCTTAGAGTTCATTTTATGTTTTGCAGTATAAACTGATTTAAACACAAATATACTGACAATGTAAATATCAAGAATGTAGCAAGGGCCTATAACTGTTGTGATATAGTAAACATGCTCGCAAAAGACTCGTCATATCTATCAGTTTGCTGCTTTACAGTATATCTTTGTTATAGGTTAACAGCCAGCTTTCAAAGTGCTGTATGCGGCAGCAAATAAAGATCCATAACACCCACGCTCACACTTCAAAGTATGTCATTTGTGAGCGTGAGCTCCAGGATGCACAGATGTAGGTTATTGGTGGTGTATTTTTTTTACCTGAGCGCATTAGGCTTTATGCAGTGATGATAGGCTCAAACGGGTATCGATATGCATCCATGATAATGTTTGTCCTCCAATGAAACTGCATTCAGATTTTATATCACCTCAGAGCCCTGTAGCCAGTCCCAGAGCCTCTATATTTTACCATCGTAAAGGAAACGTGTCAAAGCCACAAACGTATCGTTCCTGTGTGTCCGCTGAGCTCAAGCTCAATCTCGACTAGAAACCACAAGTGTGATTAACATCATATCAATTTTAAAAGCAACATTTTATAATTTAATCATTGTCACCAGAGCAATTCACTGGACTGTGAACCTGAATGTAATTATAAGAATAACTTCTCTCGGGTTTGACACGTAAAGCCGTACAGTGCACAGCATGCATGAAATTATTGTTTGATTAACGTCCATCCTAATCAGTGCACAGACCCCTGGGCTTAAATGTTAGTCAATTAAGGTGCTAAACGACTGACTAAAAAGCCAATTAATGAGGCTGAATATAAAAACAGAACTGTTTACTGTGGGTCATGTTATTTACAGGGTTTTAGCGTGCTGCATCCGTCGATATTCTGATAAGCGGAGGTGAGCGGTGAGGTTAGAAATTCTCAACAATTCTTCCATTGTGATAATCTCATTCCAATATCAACTCAATCATGAAGTATTCACACCAGCGGAGCTCTGAAACAGCAGCGTGTTTATTTAGCAAGACAAGTAATAGAAAATCCATATTTAATATCCGAAACTTAAGCATCATAATAACAGTCCCTTCCTGTCTGATTCCGGGTTCAGCTTCAGACATGCTTTACACGACCTCTCATCCAAGTCATCCATGTCATGCAGAAGAAATTAGACAAAATAATAGAATAGTGTCAGAGATGAGGGTTTATCCTTTTATGTTATGATTATTTGGATGCTTACTTTGTATTCCGACAGCTACATAGGGAATAAGAGACAGGCTTCCAAGATTTGAGGGAAGCACCTAAGATGGGCCACTGCATAAAGGCTGATAATTCAAGGTAAAATGTGGGGAAATGTCACAGCGGGCCTCTAAGAAATATCAGTGACTGAGAGATGAAACTGCAGACTGAGGGTTGAGAGCCAGGTTGTACAGCCGTGTGAACAACTGATCAATCCTCTCAGTGTCATGACAGACTGGCCCAGGGTGCTTTGTGTTATCATCGACTGCATTCGGTGTTTTACCAAAGGCATTTACAGTGGGGCAAAAAAGTATTTAGTCAGCCACCAATTGTGCAAGTTCTCCATGCATGCTTGCACAAAGACTGTATTGGGCCTTGAATTGTTTGGTGATCAATAGGCCGCACACTTTCTGTTGCATCTGAAGTTCAAGCGTCATATTGAATGAAGCTATAGATCTGTAATTGTGTTTGGTTGTTTTTTGGGGGGGGGGTTCTGATAAAGGTTCCTTTCAAGTATTCCTTGGGCAATTGAGTATAATAGTTCTGAAGGTTGATTTGATATTTAAGGGTTTGGAGAGATCCTGTCTGTAACAGCTAATCTTAGCATTTTGCGTCATGGCTACCATTGCTGATGTATGCAATCAAAAGAAAATGCTTTAGCTTTCTGGAATCCACATGTAGAAATGTATTGAGCTGAACTACCTCTTGCCTGTCTTCCTTACAGTTACCTGTCCTATGAACGAGGTGTTGACAGCCTCCACGGGAATAATCCTGAGTCAGTCACCGGGTAGCAGCCTGCCACACTTTGAGTCCTGCTCCTGGGTGGTGAAGGTGGATTCAGGTTACAACATCACTTTCACCGTTGAACACTTCCAGACCAGCAGACAGTTTGATGAGCTGGAGATATTTGATGGTGAGTGGATTTATCACAGCTTTTCCTTTGGATATTTTCCTCTGATTCCTGCGGTACTACTACTATTACCACTACTACTACTACTACTACTAATGATGATAGTAATATACACAACAGTTCAAAATATTACTGTAAAAATACAATAAAAACAATGTAAAAAAATTGTAATACAAACAAATTAATAATAAGTTGTTATTATTATTATGTTTATTATTATTGTTGTTGTTGTTACTGTAATTTAAAATGCAATTTACTCCTATGATGGAAAACCTGAATTTTCAGCAGCCATTACATTTCTTATTATTATCAATGTTGAAAACCTATCATATTTCTTATGTAATTATTTCATATTTATTATTACTATTATTATTATTATTACTAGTGCTGTAATTTTGCTATCCTGTCAGCCTTATACTGTAGCACGTGCTCTTCAATTGCACACATAAATGTGGCGGCACGCGCTGTGTGCAAAAGAAACTACGAGCATGCAATGTCATAATTATGGCATCAGTTAAGTCATGAAGTTACCAAAAAGTCAATTAAAGCTGCTTTAAAACAGTACATGCAAGTATTTGTTATATATGAGCTACATTTAAGAACATGTCTCTCAAATGTTTTTCAAAACGGTTCTGGAGCAGCCCAGCACTGTCTCCCTCATCTAACACACCCAATTAAATTCGTCAGCTCATTAGTACAGACTTTAAGACCTGAAGTGGGTCAGAAAAGGTAAAGAGTTGTGAGAAAATACAATGCATGTCAGATCTACGTTATGTTCAGCAGCCGAAATAACCTAATAACCCAGAAGCTGTGATGTCTGTTCATCAAAGAACAAAAGAAAAAAAAGAGGAAATCAATAACTTTTGTAGCTTTAAGGATTCATCTATATTTAATTTAGAATTTAGTGTTTGATAACTTTATTCAATTACTGTGTATTTCCTTCTTGCTGAAGGGCACAGGTTGCTAAATATGACATTTATCATAATGAGTTTATGAGAAGATTGTTTTAAGTTCACTTAAATTAGAAGTTATTTTTAAAGTCTAATAAATGTTAAAAATTGACAGCTCTCAATTATACTGTAATGTTGAAAAGCTATAGTCAATGGTTAAATATTAGAAAAAAGACATCAGACACCTAGAGACATCAGTAGTATTGTTATCAGTGATTCTCGCCTTCAGACATAAAAAAAGATGCCATTAAACAAATATTAAAAATATTCTGTCTATGTTGTTTCTATATTAATTTAAAGATTGAATGTGAAATTATTGCAATATAAAAGTATATTTAAAAATGGTAATGTCAGGTGGGATTAATCGTGATTAATTTCAGAAAAAAATTTACAATTAATGAATTATTTTTAATTGATTGACAGCCCTAATTATTACCTATTACAATTATTATTATTGACAATAAAAATAACATTTTATCATTTATAAGTACTTTAAATGAAAATGATTTATTTATTTATCGCTGTTGTAGTAATATAATTAAATAAGATTGAATCAAGGAACAAACATCATAGCAAAAATGACATGGTTTTTGTTCACAAAAAGCTGTTTTTCTCCTCCTTCCAGTACAATTATTGACATACACCTCCCAGGCAACCTTGCTGTGTTGAGCAAGATAGACAGTTGTAGAGAGGCCAAAAGGGATGACCTTTGCTTTTACACAGTAAAAACCTTTTGTAAAAGGCAAAGGAAATTGCTTTGGCCAACAGAGGACTATTCAGGTCCAGTCTGAGGTCAGTGGCTTTGCTGGGGTCAAAGTGATCCCATTTAGACTGAGATTAGGAAGTGGATTACAGGTCAGAAAGGTCATCTTACACACACGGAGGCTCATCACATTTTAGGCATCATTAAAGTGGCCCATAGCTGAGTCAGGCAGCGTTCCAAAAATAAATAATAAAATATAATAAAATAAAATAAAAAAATATGTAAAGAATGAAGTGAACAGACTTTGAAACTTTGCTATGTGAACAAATATGAATAAAATAAAATGCAAATGCAAATGAAAAAAAAGATTACAGTACCTACCAATATCATTTAATAAGCAATATGAATTATGCAATTTTGTTACATACTTTGAAACATCCGTTAAACAGGTAAACATGAGATAATATTAAATTTATATGGCATATATAGTAAGTTTATACATGTTCAGAAGATTTGGGTCAGTCATTTTTCTCTTTTTTTATGTTTTTGAAAGTAGTCTCTTTTGCTCACCAAGGCTGCATTTATTTAATCAAAACCACAGCAAAAACATGGTATTCATCAGCCAATACTCCAGACTTCAGTGTCATATGATCTTTCAGAAATCATTCTAAAATGCTGATTTGATGCCCAAGAAAAAAACCTTTTGGTTCCCCAAATTAAAGTGTGACCATGTCAGTGCTGAAAATTGTTGTGCTGCTTAATATTTTTGTAGAAACCCTGATATTTTTAGGATTATTTGATGAATAGATTTTTAACAGCATTTATTTATTTATGCACTCTTGTGCATCCTTGTTGAATTAAAAAATATTTGTTTATTAAAAAAATTATTTGTTCTTAATATACCTCAAATCATTTCTATTAGATATAAGCATTGTTAAAAAGAGTGAAAAGCATGAAAAAAAAAAACTACTTGCACACACAGATTTTTGTACTTTTTTTTTCTGAGAGTGCAGTATATGACAGCCGGGCCTCACAGAATCACATTGTGCTACACACTTTTTTTAAGGCTCATAAAGCGCCTTTGCTTGTGTGTATTTGTGTGTCATCTGGGAGCAGTGTGAGCCACTCCTGAGGGGAGCTGGCATGCTCAATGCTGATTACGCTTTCAACTCCCATTGCGTTACGAAGCAGACTTTGCTTTTCACAACATGCCAAAGCCAGCCAGATCACACCAGATCCATTTACCTCCCCGCAGCTTGGCCCAGACACTAACATGACATCTAGAATGGCCTTTAAGACACACACACACACACACACACACACACACCTCTCTGAACTGAATCAGAGTTCAGCTGATCTGAAAGTACTGCCAGTGAAGTTCATGAACAGAGCCCTGTCACTCAGCATTAACCATGAGAAGTGGAGAGGCTTGTTGTGACAGAAGCGCATCAGAAACACGCCAGTGGTATCACTGCTGGTGGTAAACAAGTCAATTTGAAGTTTGTAAGATATGTGGCTACTGACAGTGACAGGAAGAGATGCAAGGGGGATTTTTTTTTCTTCCGTGATCAGTTGTCCAAAGAAGTGTGAAGCTCAGCGGCTTTGATTTACTACGTTTCTTGCACACATTTGCATGTGTAATCTAAAAAAAACTAATAATAATAATAATATTTACAGTATATATATATATATATATATATATATATATATATTCCAATGTTTTGAAAATCAGGGCCAGTTTCTTAAGAATCGTTGCATTTTAAATTCAGAAAGACAAACACATATGTGGTCTGAGATGTTATACTTTTGGACCACAGATGCGTCTTATATATGGTAACTTTATGTTTTGCTTTCTATATCCTGCAGGTCCTTCACGGCAGAGTCCATTGCTCATTTCTCTAAGCGGGAACTATTCATCTCCCTTCAGTATTACTAGCACTGCAAACAAGGTTTACCTGCACTGGTCTTTCGATCACACTTCCAGCCACAAGGGCTTTCGAATCCGCTACTCAGGTGAGCATTCAAACACATCTTCAAAACATACAGATTGGATTTGGATTTCCCCAAGCCACTGTTTCCTGCTGACTACGAGTTCTCTCAAAACACAATGAAGGAATCAATTTATTAAATTAAACTAATGAATCAATGTGTTGTTTTATATTCAATTTACATTAAAATTAGGAATGTATTTTCAAATAGACAAAGAAAGATTTATTGAAAACTGCTTATTAATAAAAATAATTACAATATATGTTTAAAGCAATGAAATTATACATCAGTAGGTCATCTTTAAATGCATTGTTTTAACTGCATTTTTAAAAGAGCATTGGCTGTCAGTTTAATTTGTTAATTAAATTAATTAGTTATGGAAAAATGATGAGTTTAACACAGTTAATGCACTGGGCCCGCCCCCAGACCTGTACAACATCTTACATTTCATACAGTTGACTGTTGACAAACATGATGCAGGGCAACAACTATGTAGTCCATAAATGCAGTTAAGTGCCTATTCAATTCAAGATATTGGGCCAAAAAATGCCGCTGTATGAGTTTTTGTCTCATATTTATATCACATGATAAGCGATATCACATGATCAGCGAGAGCAATATCACACGAGTGTTGTTTTTTTCCAGAATAGTACGTGTGCAAATATGATTTTTTTTATAACATTTCAGTAAATAAAAAGTTAATATTGTGTTATATTTTAAACATAACATTGTAAACATAATATTGTCTGTTTTACGCAAATATTACCTATTAAAGCCACAGCAGAGCTGTTTTGAGTCTCCGAGCAACACAATATATATCTTTAATTCATTCATTATTTTGGGACATTTTTGCATTAATACATAAATACATATTTCCCACAAGCCAAATGAGGTTGCCATTTGAACTTAACTCTTTCCCCGCCAGCATTTTTTTTTTTAAGTTGCCAGCCACCGCCAGCGATTTTGATGATTTTCACTCAAATTTGATGGCCTCCAGTATATTTTGCTGTATGAATATTTGAATATGCAATACACCAAAATAAAGATCAGAGCCTCTACTTTAAAACAAAAAAAATCAGTTTTATTATCTTAAAGCATTCTTTTTTATCAACACTTGAATATAGGTAGGTTTCATAAAAAATGCATAATTTTGAGCAAAAAGGTGAGAAAATCTAATTTTTATCAAAAACTACATCTGGATAATATTCAGTATGATTATCAAAGCATAAATCCAGCAAATCGCGTCCATCAATACCGCCAAAGCTTGCACAGACATATACCACTTCCTGGATCAACATTTTACTCCGTAACATTATGCAGTTTTCATTTATATGCTGTCTATTGCTGATAATCGCATTATTTTTCATATGCATCTGTTTACAAATAGAGATCGCTAGTTTTTCCATCCTGTTCACGTGTGTTTTTGTTCGGGAGGTTTTGTACTCATTCAGAAGATGTGTAATAGTGCCCCCGAGGGTAACAGTGAAAACACGAAAAGCCGTAAAAACTCGTCTTTGGCGGGGAAGCGTTTTCTTCTAAAAGACGAGATAACTCGTCAATGGCGGGGAAAGAGTTAAACAAGACTAGGTACTGTGAAATAATACTATTGCGTCTTCACTACCTGCATGCGAAAACAAACGTACAGAGTAACTAGTGTCATTTGAGTCATGAACAAATGACTCTTATGAGCCAATTCTTTTAATGAATCAACCAAAAAGACCCATTACCCAGAAGTTATTGGTTTGGCTTACAAATGATTATATCAAATGACTCCTCGACTGCCTGAATGCTTGACAACTTACAGTTAAAGATATGCATTCACAAAACGACCAATTATGACTCCCTGCTGCAAAAACAGAATTCACGCAGGAAACTCTGCCACAAGCTATCAAGACCTGATTACGCCATTTCATGAGCAATAGTGTAATTCTAAATGAGTTATTACCCCATAAATATTTAAAAAGTTTCCGTTTGCTCCTAATCATTAGCGTTTCAGAAGAATGACTAATCACCTCTTTGTCTGGCTCATCAGGGTCCTTTCTCTCGACATCAGCTTGTTTAGCTTTTTCCGCTTCCTCCTCGCATGATGGATTTTTGATATACAGTAGGGCTCTGTGACAGTCTGGGTTAGCAGCGGCAGCACACCTAGGTTTCCTTCCTCAATATGGTTTCCCTTCTGTAGTGATACCTTGCTGGGACAAAAACAGATGGTGGGACAGATTCAAAGCTTCGTAACGTTTTCTTTCTCAATCCATCTTTTATCTCCACAGGCTGTTACTTCAACTATAGCAGGTCCTTCCACTCCTCCTCCCTCTCTCTTTTGTTTCTCTCTTCATTTTTCTTTTTTATTTCCTGACCTTTTCTTCCCACCATCACCTGTGTGAGGTTTGCTAAATGACTGGCTTTGAGAAGTGTGAAGGCCTTTCTTTGGAAAAAGAAGAAACGTAGCAGCTTAAAGGTTGAAGATTGACAGCATTAACTTTGCAATTTAGAAACAAGGGCCAAGGGGCATGAGAGTTTGTTTGTATCGTGACTTTATTAAATGCAAAGCTGGGGCTCTTGGGTCATAGTCAGGTAGGAAACAGCACCGCGACTGGTTGACGCAGACTTCATAAAGTAGTTGAGCGGGAAGGCTAAATTTCTACTAAGCAATCTCTTACAGCTTGACCTCTGTGGCCAACAATCAATAGCAATCTTTTTAGCCATTTAGAAGGCAGCACCTGCTCTATCACATGAGATGTTTGACGCTCAAAACAAAACTTCTTTAAAACCGCACTCAAAGCCATTTAAACCATTAGTGCACTTTTGTTTCTTTCAAAGTTTTACTACAGGTATATGATGTGTAAACTTTCAAATTTGTCCATTATCTGTAATCTCCAGTCAGGGCTAATGGCCGAGAGGCTGGAAGCATTTTATGTCTCTGTGGTTTGATCATTAGAAAGATTTCCACCTTGTGAAACTTGAGGGTTGCCATTCCATTACTGGTGTCTTTATTTATTTATTTTTCTTTGTCCTACAGTAGGTTAGCTTTTACTTCTTTTAACATTTTCTGTGAAGAGCTAAATTTCCATGAAATGACTTGATGAGTGCAGTTTTCTCTCCTGTGTTGATGTTTGCTGGGAAGTTGACACCATACTTTTTTTTTAATGCTTTTAGTTTTTAGTTTATTTCATAGCCATGGACCATATTTTGAGACATTGATATTTTTGATCCATTGTCTTAGAACAGAAAGAAATAAATTTTTGATCAAATAAATGCAGGTAGTGTGATATTTGTCAACTTTCAGAAATGCACTAACATATAAATGACCTTAAATCCACAACACGGTAACAGACTGAAAACCACCACTTAAATAATAATAATAATACAAATTCTGTATTGCTAACTTGGGGCACAATTGTTTATCCATGTATATGTTTCAGACGTGCATCTTTGACTATTGCATAGATTTGTGCCATCAGCACAGTGTTTTCATTATGACTTTTTAATGTAGCTATAGTTAACAGCTGTTCAACTTTGAAAAACATGTCTCAAGACCCCTCCGCTCTATTGCCATCTAGCTGTTTTCAGTGCCAGAATGTGTCCTGTGTGAGTGCTCCCTCACTCTCCTAAAGGAAATTATCATGGCTAGACATTGTGTTGGACTGAAATTAGAATTGTTGTAATGGAATTTAAATGGAAGTTCGGTGAGAGCTTGTTCTTCTAATCCAACACAAGAGCATATACATAAGCGGCTGCTTACACTGCAGAAAATTTTCTTAATCAGTATTTTTGCATTATCCTTTATATAGTGTATCTTGAATATATCTAGAATTAATTTCCTGTGCAGTTTACCTTCTCAAGTTAACTTTTCTTTCTTTTTTCACGTGACTGATTCACTTCCATGACATTTCTTCCAGGAAACCTCCACTAATCTTACTCTAATTAACTTACATTAATTAAATAGTCCGGGAGGCAACTTCCTCAAGTCTCTGCATTATTGGCAGCTTGCCAAAGCTGTTTACCTGTATCGCTGAAGGAGTATATGAACATGTGAACTCATGAAACAGATAGGCTAGTAATGTGGTCATAGCAATTAATAATGCGACAAATTGCATTCCTGCCCCATTTCCTCCTAATTCCTTCCACACCTCCTTTTATATTATGCTGGTATCATTACGGTCATTCTTTTTCTTGTTTGGTCAACAAGGAGAACAGCCTGCCAAGATCTGATCTCAGACACCTCATGTGCCACAGGAGACAATGTGGCCTGGATAGCATATGCCAGCATAACTTTGTATAATGACTCTCGTTGTATTCTGAATTACAGTCTAGACTAACAAATTGTACACAAAACAATAGATTTTTTTTGTTACATATCCATCATTAATGACCTTCCACAAGTTCCTGCAATTCAATACTGTGCATCTTTTTAATCACTCCTCAGCTCCAGACTGCATTAATATCCGCTATTTCCAGTAAACAGGGTGATGAATAGAAAAACAATAAGCAGCAGGTTTCACAGACTGATGTGTCTTTGATTTCTGGCTGTGTTTACTTTTGTATGTGCCACAGCGGCATACTGCAGTACCCCGGACCCTCCGGTGAACGGCTCGGTGCATAGCCAGACGGGCACGAAACTTGGCAGTACCTTGCGCTTCAGCTGTGACCGGGGTTTCAACCTGATTGGCCAGACCATCGCCACTTGCACCCGCACCCTGCAGGGCATCAACCAATGGAACGCTCCAGTGCCGCTTTGCCAAGGTGAGTCTGAAAATCTTGCCTGAAATACCTTGGAGAAAGTCTAGAGGCGATTATCTGTCTCTCCTTGCTGAACTCTCTCTGCGATAGACTGGCGCCGGCGTGGCTAATTCTGTATTCAATCAATGTTTAGGGCTTGGCTGCATCTGTCAAATTGCTCATCACAATAAATGGGTTAGCCAGGAGCCATAGCTGCAAGACTATTGCTAATGTGCTGTCCGAGGGGAGAGTCTCCTCAGAAAGAGGCAGTTATCATCCACTAAAGCAGAGGCCTCCACGGGGTCTACCGTTTTGCAGTCTCAGAAGTGTTGCGTTTTATCACCACTTCCTGGCTAACAAAGGCCTCACCTGTGAGAGGTGAATTTCTATTTGACAGGAATGGTGTGAGATGCCTTAGGCCAAGAGCCTTTGAGCTCTATTGAACACACTGAACGTATTCGTAATTCGTGTTTCGTATTCAAAGTGGGACATGGTTGACTCATGATTGATTGAGTAGCATGGATATTACATCCATGTGTCAGTCATTTGAAAGAAGAGTCATTATAATGACTTTTGAGACTGTAGAGGATAGTATAGTGGTTACTGATCTGGGCTGGACATCAGAAGTTTGTAGGTTCAAACAAATGAGGGTAAAATCATGAACTCCAAAAATCATGAAATGATCACTATTGTGGCCTTGAGAAAGACACTTAACCACGGGTTGATCCAGAGGGAATGTCCCTGTAAGTGTACTGTAAATCACATTGGATAGAAGTGATAGCTAAATGACAAATTAAGATGAGAGGAGGAGAGGAGGCAGATCTATGGTAGGGTTGTGACGGTGAGGAAATTTTCCCACCGGTTAATCGACGTGTGACAACACCGATAATACTGGTATCACCGTGGGGCTAGTGGCATTCCCTCTTTTCCTCGCTTTCCTTCGCTTTTAAATAGCTTAAAAGCACAGTGCACATTTTACTTTCATTTTTCTTTAGAATTAGCGGCAATTTGGCGTCAATTGCTTGAATGCAACAACAAAATACGTCAAACTCTCTTTAGCCTATATATAAAATAACAAATAACTTACATAGTTTAAATAGGTAGCCTATACAAAACTGGAAATAAGTAAACATGTATAATATATAACCAAATAAATAAGAAATGTAGAAAGTTTATTAGCAAAACGAATAAGAAAGCTTGGAGGCACGGCATACACCTTGATGTCAAATAAAATAAATAAATTACACAAAGTTTAAATAAAGAAAATATCAGCAAACACTGTGGAACCAATTAAATAAGAAACGAAATGTTTAAAAAAACTTCCAAAATCACCTTAGATAAACGGCAAAAGTCAACAGGCTTTTCAAAATCCAAAATACTGCCAAACAGGCGCTTTTGCATTTCGTTTCGAAACTAAATCATCCGCCATCGTCTTGTCTGTCTCACCCCACTCTTCTTGTCAGTCAGCTCGACTCACTCTCCTCACTGGAGAAATGAAATCTGATCTGTGATGCGACTGTCGTTCGGCACGCTGCATTGAGCAGCCGTGTTCAGTTTTTAATTGTAGTGTCTGTTCTTTTACTGAACTAAATTATTTTTATTACTATAAAAAATCAAAACGACGGTGGGGGTCGGTGCTGCAGTGGGCAAGTGACGTAACCGGTGTTGCGGCTTAACAACAGTATCACCGTCAGTACAGTCTATCGCGGCAAGCCTAATCTACGGTCGTTTAAACTTTTAAATCAGCAGTGTCATCCGGGTGTTGGTATTTTGATTTGACACATACACTGGTGCCAAAACATATTTAGACTATTTAGCAGCCTACAAAAGTGTTATTGCATTGGATGAAACAATTTAATAAAAAGCCAGAGATTGTTGTGTTTATATTGTTTACTGTAGCTGGTATGTTCATGACTCTCTTAGGCTTATGATACATGGGGCAACTTTTTGAGCAATGTTGCTTGGGCACTTTCCTATTGAGGATTGGTAACAAATGTCTATCTGGATACTTTAGATCGGTCGTGGGCCCTGTGTCTCACCTGGTTGCCCATTGACGGCAACATTGCTCAAAAAGTTGCCCAGTGTATCATCAGCCTTACTCTCTGCTGGCTCTACAGGATGCTGGTGTTCTCTCTGTGTCCTTTAGTCCATGTCCAGATGTAATCTACATCTTGGCTTGTGCCCGTTTCTTTCTAGCTGCTCTTGTTTACCTTCCCAGAACCACTGCAAGCTTGTGTTTGCACAGTCACATTGCTGCTTTTGGTGTGTTCACTTAGAGTGTTTACACTGAGTATTCTTTGAAGTACGATGGCGAAAAGATATAGCCAGTTTCCTTGGGGTTTTGTGAGAAAATACTTGAGTCTGTTTTTTGAAGTCAGAATCTTTTTCTCCTTCACAGTTGTTTCCTGTGGGATGCCCCTTGCGCCAGTGAATGGCACTGTCATCGGGCAGGAATTCACTCTCGGCTCTAGAGTCACATTCTCTTGTAATCCTGGTTTCCGATTGGCCAACGCTCAGCCAGTGTCAACAGTTTGTCAAGAGTCTGGGAGATGGAGCCCGATGGAGACCCGCCCTCGCTGCGTCCGTGAGTTCATGAGCACCGATCAGTTTGTTCTTATTTACATAAAAGACTGATAAAAGAAGGAAAAGATCAAATGTGTATTATTCTCTTAACTATTTAAAATTCTTGAAAAGTCTTAGGCCACATTTAATCTTGAATTCAAAAATTTGTTTGAACATGGAAATTAATGGAATGATTTTGTTAAAATGAATTAGAAGAAAGAAATATAAAAAAAAACATGTTGCACTACTTTTAGGTCTTAATCAAAAAAATTATTTTAACTTTGATCCTTTAGCTGTGACCTGCCCTGACATCGGCCACTCCGCAGTGGATCATGGGAGGTGGAGGCTTATTTACGGCATGCAGAATAAATATGAGGCCATGATGATGCTGACTTGTGACCCTGGATATTTCTACAAGGGTCAAAGGGTCATCCGCTGCCAAGCTAACGGCACCTGGGATTACCCTGAGCCTAGACCATCCTGTGAAAGTGAGTGCAATATAGACCATAGTGACATCAAGACATATGCTTAGAGACCACAGCATTTTCAAATTATGATTATTTTTTTATTTTTTTTGGAAACTCATGGCCCTACAGAGGATAAGTGGTTTGAAGAATGGATGGATGGATTTATTTTTTTAATTATGATGATTTTTCAAACTTTAATTGAAAACCCCTGATCTAGTATGTCATGAAAAAATTGTCTAGTTTGTCTAGTCTAGTTTGAAAAAAATTTCAAGACTTGAAATTCCAACGTATCTTGTATTCAGAATTCTGTAAAAGTAAAAATTACAAATGCATTCTTCATCTGAATTTGCCTAGTCATTTCCTGTGGTGACCTTGGAACCCCTCCAAATGGGAATAAAATAGGAACATTAACTGTGTACGGAGCGACTGCCATTTTTTCCTGTAACACGGGTTATACTCTGGTGGGCTCCAGAGTGAGAGAGTGCATGTCCAATGGCCTGTGGAGTGGAGCTGAGGTCCAGTGTCTTGGTGAGTGGCTTTACTTCTCTTATGGGACTTCTTCATCAATAATTAGAGAAAATATACCCTTATGTGCTCCAAATTAGCATTTACAATGTTTTTCTTCAACAGCTGGACACTGTGGCACACCAGAGCATATTGTGAATGGCCAGGTCATTGGAGAGAATTACAACTACAGGGGCAGTGTCGTTTACCAGTGTAATCCTGGATTCCGACTCATCGGTGTGTCCGTTCGCATCTGTGAGCAGGACCATCGCTGGTCCGGAAAGACTCCCGTCTGTGTCCGTACGTGTTGGTTAATCAATCTGATTCAATGTCTTTTGACAGTTTTATGCCTCTGAGAAATAAAATAATCATGTAAATGGATATTAATATGTCACTTTGATGTTCTGTAGCCATCACCTGTGGGCATCCAGGCACCCCAGCTAATGGTGTGACTCAGGGAACGCAGTTTAACCTTAACGACATTGTGCGTTTCACCTGCAACCCTGGTTATGTTCTCCAAGGTGCAATCAAGTCTCACTGTCAGTCCAACAGCCAGTGGAGCAACGCTCTGCCCAAGTGTAAAAGTAAGTCCTGTGGGTTAAAGATGACTGGCACAGATCTAGACAATAACAGTCTATGCAAATATTTGTGTAATTCAAGATGTTCAATTAAGAGTTGCCATATATAAGCCAAAATGTGACATATAGAGCACTACTGTTTTAAATGTATTCTTCTGATGGCAAAGCTAAATTTCATAATCATTCAGATATCATTCTAATATGCTGACTTGGTGCTCAAGAAACATTTCTTATCGTCAATATTGAAAAGAGTTGTGTGCTTAATATTTTTGGAAACAGTGAAACAATTACACAAGTTATGAATCACTCTGTTATTTTAAATTTGACTCTTTGAAGTTGTAACATCCATCCCCTCAATCCGTACCTCTCTTTTGATTATAAATGTGTGTTTATTCTGACTGAGGAAGTTGAAGTGGTCTGATCATATCAGGCACGGTCTCCTCTCCATCATGGTCCATAATTAGCACTGAGCGTGGGAAGACACCCGTTTAATGGCACAAAAGGAGCCGGTAAAAAAATGCTATGAGCTCGGAGCTGCATCAATCAGGCCTCTGCACAGCCCCGCTAATCAGCACCAATTTGTGTCTGAGTGAGCCACTTCTATCTCCAAAATGGCCTCCTAAACCACACAGATAAGTTGGTTAGACTTATATCTGCAGATAATTGAACCACTCCCCTCAAAAATTGCCACTGGCCAGCGGGAGCATCGATTTTAAAATGGAATTACGGCCAAGCACAAATAAACAGATTGTTTTCCTTAGTTCTTTTATTTTTCTTCTTTTCTTTCTTTCTATTGATTTCATTTCTGTATTTATTTCTAACTTAACCATTTACATTTTAGTTAAAAATCGAGCTGGTATATTTAAGTTATAAATGATTGCATCATAGAAAATGGCTTAGGCTGGCTCTACTAAGAGCTATTAAAGGCATTAGCATGCATTACTACTCTGGAAAGTCTTAATTCCGTTGAGAAGCTGTCCCTAATGGAGAGATTTTAAGGGAACATTGCTGGCCTGGAACAGCAGAAGGGACACTCTGGAGTCAAATAAGGAAGCCTGTTCTCTTCATTTGGCTTCACTGTTTTTGGCTTCATAGAATGTCGCCAGAAGTGTTTTCAGCTAAATTTGTTAGAATCAGTTGGAGTACTCAAAGAACAAAACATAGGTTAACATGACGGCCCATCTTATTGCCTTGGCCTGCTCAGTTGCACTTGCGTTTTAATGAATATTTTGTTTTCTTTAAAGTCCCCATGAAATCAAAATTAAAGTTTTTTTGGGTGTTAGTATGAATATGTTAGTCTTAAGGTTATCTATAAGGCCGTGTGCTCCAAAACAGTGACAAAATTTGCATTTAGAAGATATAAGCATTCAAAGCTTGCAGTTCGTCACTTCCGCCAAAACGACTCAACGATTTTTTTTGACGTCACATCATACTTCAGCTTTTCATCAGACTTTCTGTCCAATCAAATACTCTCTAGAATCGCCCCTGCCCTGCACTATAAAATAGATCGGTCACTTGTCCACAGAATTAGTATTTTCTGTACAGTGAATGGCACGTAGTGCACTATATAGGGGCAGGGAACGATTCAAACAGTGTAAATATGCTTTCCATTGAGGAAAAAAAGAAGTCTGGTTTCGCGCTGTGTCACGCTAACCACCGCACACACACTCTGCTCCGGTCCAGAGACACGATAGCACGGAGCAGATCACATGCGCGAGTCGGCGCAGACCACAAAATGTATCAGAGCTATTTGAATTCTACACAGAATGCTATATTTTATAGCAATATGGATGAGATTGTAGCTGGCATACCCTGTCGAATGCGGCTTTGCGGAGCTCAACGGCTCTAGCCCAAGCTGTGATATAAACGGATGTTATTGACTATTGGGCTGCTTGATATGTCCCGCCCTGTCTTCCTGTTTCAGTTAAAATGACGTCAACACACAGAGTAATGCTGCGTGTTTCTAAGCATTTCAGGGGACCTTTAAGTGCATGAACGAATACAAATTACTGCTGATTTTTGTTTTAGGTTATCCATCATGCCCTTTTGTCCCTCTGTGCTCTCGTTCTCTGTTTTGTTTTGTTGTTGTTTGTTTTTTGGCTCATAACTAACACACCACCGATATGTCTCCATCTCTCCTCTCTCTAAGCCCAGTTCATGTCCTCAGCCAGACCGTGCACCAGCCATTAATGAAGCAACTGTTTGTGTTTATGTGGTTTCAAATATTTACAGAAGTTTTTCTAGAAGCCTTTAATCTTCTTCGTAAACCATCTTTTTCTGTGGCATTTTGTGTGTTGAAAATTGGTTGGATATCAGGACCAATGAACTGTGCCCACTGGCAGCATCATTTATTTCACACAATTCACTAAAGAAATTGCACAAATCAATTAATGGCACAAACAAGGCCAAAAATGTATGCTTAATGTGGTTTGCATGCCACAGTTTCCCATCGTTTAGATTGGCTTGTTGTGGAGGATGCAGCAGACTTTACTAGGATTGAACAGGAACAGGAAATATGGATATAACACATTTCTCCATCATGTGATCATGTGATGTGATCATCATATGATGAATTACTGTCACCAAGATAGAAATGTACACAAAAGTCTCTTTTAAATTAAATTGATTATGCCAAATAAAGAGTCTCTTGTGCGCACCAAGGCTGCATTTATTTGATAAAAAATAACGGTAATATTATGAAATATTATATATTTTTAAATGTAATTTATTCCTGTGATATCAAAGCTGAATTTTTAGCAGCCATTGCTTCAGTCTTCTGTCACATTATCCTTCAGAAATCATTCTAATATGCTGAATTGGTGCTCAAAAAATTTATTTCTTATCAATGTTGAAAATAGTTGTGTGCTTAATATTTTTGTGGAATCAGTGATACATTTTTTTTCAGAATTATTTGATGAATAGAAAAGAAAAGCCTAAATGTCTTTACTGTCACTTTTGATCCAATTAACACATCCTTGCAGAATTAAAGTATTAATCACTTTCAAAAAAATTAAAAATAAATTTATTTTTAATAAACTTTTGAATTGCAGTGTGCTTCTCAACAGTATTCTTCATAACCTTCTTTCTCTCTGTCTGTCTTTCTCTGCGTCTCAGTTGTGAACTGCACTGATCCGGGACATGTTGAAAATGGTGTCAGACAGGTCCTGCCCAGCGGGCCTCATCGTTACAGTTTCCAGACCGCAGTTTCTTACAGCTGTAACCCTGGATACTACCTGATGGGCACCAGCACTCTGAGCTGTCAAGGCGACGGCACATGGGACCGCTCCCTACCCAAGTGCCTCTGTAAGTCATCTTAACCTGATAAACCATTACTCAAGTAATTGTGTAACCTACTTTACTCTGAATTGTGTATATTGATATTGTGCACTGTAGGTAAGATTTGCCCTTTTTTCTGTCTGCCGCAGTGGTTCTGTGTGATCGTCCCAGCATGCCTCCATATGCACAGATCTCGGGGGACAGACGCACAGTGGGCTCTGTTATCCGCTTCAGCTGCATCGGCCAGCGCAGCATTGTGGGCAATATCACCCGCATGTGCCAGCTGGATGGCCAGTGGAGCGGCTCCCTGCCACATTGCTCCGGTACTTGAAATTTTTTCCCTATTCAGCATGCTCATCTGTCTGTTTTTATCGTGATTTTTATTTAGTACTTTATTGGTTTAAAAAAAAATTTTTTTAGAAATATATTTAATTGTAATATTGTTATATTTACACAAATTAGACTACCTACTTTCATTTCGAAACGTCTTTTGTGATTGAGTCCTTATTTTGTCCTGAGCAGTGAAGCTGCCAAAAACCTTCAGGTACTATAGGTCCTTTGGTTTCCCAGCAGGCTCTGCACATTTGTGTTCTTCCTCACAGTGACTATATGCTGAGATCCAGCTTTGCAACTCAGGACAAAGCAAGGTCTTATACACAGCTATCATAAAGTTTACTGATGTTCAATCAGGCAGCATTATTAAGGACTTTTGAACAAGATAATTTGTGTAAATTGAGTTAAATATGTTGTCTTGTGGAATATATGCAAATACGTACATGCCATGTCTTCAGTACTAAATCAAAGTACTAATAAAACAGTTTTTATTATCTTATTTTTATTATTTTCTTATATTTAATTAACCCTCCTATGTTTTTGTAGATATGAAATAGACTCTCAGATTCTCTCACAAGGGAATGTAAACTTATGAGAAAAGATGGGAATATTTTTGCAAACTTTATAAATAATAAATATACATTTAATATATAAATACATGTAAATAAAATTTTTTATTTATTTATATTATTCCCTATTGAGTCACCTGACCATTACACAAACAGGGACTTTAATAACATCACACTCTAAAAACATAGACATTTATATGGATTTGATCCTCCCTTTGCAACAATAACAGCTTCTATTCTTATAGCTGGCGCTCTACAATATTTTAGTAGGGTATCTATGAGGTCATGCACTGATGTTGGACAAGTCCTGGCTCGCAGTCTCCATTTCAGTTAATCCCAAAGGTGTTCGATGGGGTTAGGGTCCAGGCTCTGTGTAGGCCAGTCAAATTCTTCTACACCAAACTCATCCAACCATGTCTTATGAACCTTGCCTTGTGCACTGGGGCACAGTCAATTTAATTCAATTCACTGAGCTCTTCAGAGCATCCTATTTTTTCACAAATGCAGACTGCATGGCTAGGTGCTTGATTTCTATACATCTGTGGCAAGGGGTCTGGTTGAAACACCTGTATCCTGAATTCAATAATTAAGAGGTGTGTCCCAATACTTTTTTCCATATAATGTGTATGTGTAGTGGGGCATGTGCTCCATTTTTCACATTTGAGATAACACCATCTCTAAGGTTTTGTGCGAGATGATGGATCAATGACCTCAGGATTACAGCTCAGATCAGTGGGTGGTAATACAATATTGCCATCTAGGCAGTGTCCAGCAGGGCAAATTGTGTGTCCCCTCGTAAACTGGTTTAATCTTCTCATATTGGGCTTGGCGACACAGACTCTCACATGCCTGCCTGGTAATGAGCTGCCATGCTCCACTATAAACACATCAGTCCATTGCAGCCCTCAGATATGCCAGAAGAGCTTCATCCCTGGCTGTAAAACCACTGACAGGTTAATGTCACAATTCATAACTTTCATATTTCTCAAAAGATTCCTTTCAAATAATTTTTTTTCTGTCAAAAAGTGCATTAGGCTTTTTTTTTTTTTTTTGCAAGACATCTAGTGGTTAATAACTGGCCTGTCAGTGTGAGTTTCTGAAGACGATATTCTGTATTTAAATAGTAGTATTTCTTTCATATTTACTGTGCCCTTCACCAAAAGACTCACTGTTCATTTTGAATTTGTGATTGTTTGTTGAGCATTACCAGAGGATATATAGGGAATATAAAGATCATTTGTAAATGCATCAGTGGATCAAAATAAGAGGATTTGCTGAAGAACATCATGGAGCGCTCACGTCGGCAAATTTTCTGTCCCTGGTGCTTTATTATCCAAAGTAAATTATCACCTAAACCAAGCCGCTGTGATGCCTCTTTTTTCATCTCCTTTGCCAGGTCTACCGCGGAGAGTTGTTCAATAAATATGAATGAAATTACTCATCAACTTGTGTAAATCTCAGTTAACCTCTTTAACTAAAAACATAATGTAATAGAGAGCAAGTTTGAAAGTCTTGCGGGGCATCTAGATAGTAGTTTTCCAGTCATTCGCTGTCAAAGGATCTAAATTGGACTGGTTTGAGGGTATTTTCATTGTACATAGACACAACACCAAGGGTTTGAAACCCATGGTACTTGCAGTGTATACTCCATTGATTTTAACGGGAGTGATTTAGTTTTATTGAGTTTCTCCACACCTTGTGTGTCCATTGGTTAAACAAGCTGTGTCTAAAACAGCTCCCTTATCCCTGTATTGTACATTTAGCACTTTTTTTTTTTACTTTAAATAAATTTTATTTTTAGGTTATTTTTGTATTTTATTATTTTTTTTATTATTATTAAATCATGCAATTTTAAAAGCCAAACCAAAATTAAGAAAGTGAAAATTTATATTATGGGCCTGATTTAAGATATACCTATTGTTAACACTGCTATATGAAACTACATGTAAAAAATAAGTGTCCAAGTGTTCATATGTATGCGTGTTTTTTTCAGGTGATTCTGCTGGAATGTGTGGAGACCCTGGCGTTCCAGTGCACGGGATCCGTCTGGGAGAGAAGTTCTCCGTAGGGAGCATTGTACGATTCAGCTGTGAGCCTGGCTACATTCTGAAGGGCTCCTCTGAACGAACCTGCCTGGCTAACGGGAGCTGGGTGGGCATCCAGCCTGAGTGCCATGGTAAGAAAAATGAAACCTGGGTGGTCTGCAGAAAAATGCGGCTGAACGCAGATGATTAATCTCTTCTGTCTCTAGAAGATTCTGCTACTCCCAAAATTGTAGACTATGCAAATTTCTCAGCAAGTTATTTCATAGGTGTTTGATTCTGCACACAAATTCCCTTGTGTATAAACTTGTGCAAAACAAAAGAGGGAGATGGAGACAGACAGACAGTGGTTGGCGAGAAGTTATTTTCATCTTGATTTGTTCCCGTCTGTAGCTTTAAAGCGGCTCAGTACACCTGGGGTGTACACATGTTACACTTCCACTCGTACCGTGTTTCCTTTCTCTCAACATGCTGAACACTATCCAGTCAAGATGCCCAAACGACTGTGCCAGCCCTGCTGGTCCCCTGGACACTGGGCTGCTGTGTTTGCACTCTCTCCTTCTCTCTTAAACAGCATTATTATTCTGCTTGTGTTGGTTTGTGTAAAGTGCCTGCAGAGTCAGGCTGACAACCCAAAGAAAGGTATGTCAGAGAAGCAGGAAACCCAGGTTAATTACCCATGTGGAGACGCCTGTCATTTTTTTTACCCTGCTTTTTTAACACCAGCCATTTGTTTTATCTCACATCTTGTTAAGTCACCCCTAAACATTTAAGAAATTTTTAGTTTTGCATCTCCTACAAAGCACACTGTCATCTCAGTCCCCTTCCTACCTCCCAAATGCTTGGGGGTTGTGCGTTTGAAATGTGTGTGCTTGTGTGTCTGCCTAAGTTTGTGTTTCTCTTATTGATTTGACCCTTGGGCTATTGTTATCCATGCCAGTTCAGCAAACTGTGGTGGCTTAAAAGGTGGATTCACAGAAAATGCTGACGTTTAAAGAGAACAAATCAATAACTGCCTAAAACCCCTCTCATAAATTTACATCCTCAATACAACATAAAAGCTCATTGTCTGAAAGTGAAAGGGGAAATCAGGATGACTTTTTTCATTTATGTCCTCATCAAAAATGTTTGATGTCCTAACATTTACTTATACAAGGAAATTGACTGTTCTTTGCAGAATTGGAGTGCTTTATATTAATGTGATATAGTATATAGTGGTAGTCAACTGGTGAAATGTGATGCAAAAAAAAAAGAAAGCAGGGAAAAACACCCTACATTCAAATACTAATCAAATACTATTTTTGCTATCCAAACTGTGCAAATATCACACAAAGCCAAAATAAATAGGCTCATTCACTTTTAAAATTGAGCATTTTTTCTCCAATTGACATCAAAGGTTCTCTATCCGGTGAAACATTATTTTGGCACAAATGCATCCTCTTCTTGCTAGAAAATACACCAAACATTATGCCGACCACAATGCGTGGTGAATTATTGCCGCCAAAAACATCATAGCATTCAAATTTAGGTTTGTCTAATAACCATATTTGGTACTGTGTTGGGTCACCACTTGATTTCCAAAATCTGAGCCAAAGGACACTGGGGTATGTAATAGTAACAGATGATAACAGGTTTGCTGTTTGTTGTTTTAAGCTCAGTATTCACCACTCAAGTGCTCTGTTTTCATATTGGCAAGTCTCCAGTGCTCAAACCTCTAGCCCATATTGGTGGAGTCCCTGGTTGTGAGTGTGTGCCCACCTGCTCTATATTGGCACACACACATGAATACGCGCCATCTGCCCTGTCCTGGGGCAAAGGATTGTCTAATGTATGAAATCTCCTGCAGTAAATGTGTTTATTAATTAAATGCTAAATTAACATATAACTGTCCAGGTCAGAGGAGGGGCATGTCCTATGATTCATGTAGTTGCCTAGTAGTGTTTAAGCTTCCCTTGCACCTAGAATTCATGTTCTATGCTGAGCATGTATTATTGTCACCTTGCATCCCATCTGATGTTCTCTTGTGGTCTTTTGCAGTGGTCTCTTGTGGCAACCCTGGAACTCCTCGCAACTCCATGATCCAGTTCCACGATGGACTTGTGTTTTCCCGCTCTGTCACCTACTCCTGCAGAGAAGGCTACTACTCCACTGGCCTGCTCACTCGTCATTGTACAGTCAATGGCACTTGGACCGGGGACATGCTGGAATGCACAGGTGCCCCATCAACACATCAACAGGAGTTTAGATAGATCAGACTTCCATTTTTTTAAGCTAGCATCACGAAAGGTACGGTCAGACTTGCCATTGTTCTGCGAATTTTCATGAAATCAAGTAATTTTAGTAGGAATCCATGTGATTGGGAATTTAGCACAAAGGCGAAAGATTTCCTTGTGCAAATTTAACAAGCTAAAGTTGGTCACAAGGATTTAATGCCTTGACCAACAGACCAACAGTTTCAAAGTGACTGTGTGTGGACAGTGCTTCATATATCACTACCCTATTGACAGTAGACAATGGATCTTTTTGCTGACATTTTTTTTAATGTGACCACACCTTAACTCTTTACAGATTTGGGTAAGACGTGAAGTCCATCAATAGTATATACTAGTTAAACTAAGTTGACAAAAGTAGCAAATATACACATTTTAAATGTATAGTCCTTTTCCGGGGGAATGCAAATCAGAAATATTGATGACTCATCTTACATGCAATATTTGTAAATTTGTATTCAATACAATATTTTCTAGAATGACAACATCCTTTCCCCCAATGATACTGTACCTACCACTGAATAGCATTAGCATGTAGCAATTCACTATTCATCCTATCCCTCTTTCCCAATGGCTGATCAAAAAGTTCAAAAATAATCAAAAGAGCTTTTTTAAAGCCAGTTAGCACTGTGCTAAGCTGTTAGCTAGGTACTCAAAGGCTAACTGAAATGTTATCATTAGCTTTGCAGTTGTTCACCTGTCAACAAAGACTAGCTCCTAGCAAGCCAATTGCCGAGGATAAAGTAAGCATTTATTCTGCAGGATTATGAAGAGAGAGGATCATTCACCTCATTTGCACACATTTGTCTTGGCAAGTATTTTAGTATTAAAACTTGTTTAGCAAATGTAGGAGCTTCAAATTATTAATGATTTTTATTTGCTTAAAAGTAAACGGTTGTCGGTACCCATTTGCATCTCTCTGAGTGACACCATGGTCATACACCATCTCAGCAAATCACAGTTCTGAGTTGGAAAGTTTCCATGTTCCAAGACTAACTAGAAGTGGCTTTCTTTTGCAATTTCCTAAATAGCAAGTTGGAAATTCCCACTTTCCGAGTTGAATGGAATGCTGGATAAGTCGACCACTCTCATGGTGTCTTTTCATAGGGTCTCTAAGTGGTTTTAGAAAGAGACGTTTGATTCTCTTACGGTAAACTGCTCTGAATAGTACAGCTCTCAGTGGCTGAGCTCTTGAGGAATCCAGAGGCTGGATTTGAATTGGTTTTGTTCGCATGAAGCTTTTCAATGCATTGTGAGACAGGAATTAATAATGAGGCACAGTGTTCTCCATTATGCCGGCCCTGGACACAAGCTGATCAGGGACGTCTACATAGCAGCCCTGTGTTGGAGAGATAGAGAGTAGCCCTGTCCCCCTCTTGGCAACCACCCGAGTGACTTGCCATGCTCATAAAAACACAATGCTCACTGTTCAGGCTCAGAGCAAATGGTGGTCACGTGCAAACATTACAGCTCCAGACACATTGGTGTCTTTGGCACAGAGCGGGTGCCGGTGGCTTCCGACTACAGGAAGTGACTAGAGGAAAGAGCCTCCCAAAGCTGATGCCTAAAACAGTTCATTAATTTAAAGGCACCACCAAGAGGGATAAAACGTCTTGTTGCTTCCAGTTTATGACCCTTTTAATATGAAAATGTTTCTGCCTAAATTGATCTGTTTCAATGAAATGGCTAATTATAAAATAGTTCCAAATCATCAGAATTTTGGCACACTTGTCCTCACTTGTCATTCAGCCATGTACTTCCTCTTATCGCACCACAAATTACTTTCACTTTACTCTCTCTGCCCACTTCCAGTCATTAACTGTGGAGATCCTGGAGTGCCAGCTAATGGTATCAGACTGGGCATTGACTTCACGTACGGCCACACTGTGAGCTTCCAGTGTTCACCAGGCTTCACTATAGATGCTGATCGTGCCTCCACACTCATCTGCACCAAGGATCGCACATGGAACATCACCAAGCCAGTTTGCAAAGGTTTGAGCCCACCTCTTGTGAATGGAAGCTTCCTGTATACTTCCAAATGATTGGTATCTTGCGTGATTTTATTTAATTCATTTATTTTTTATTTTTTTATTCATTTTTCAACATGACATATTGTCTATGTTTTCTTGCAGCCATTGTGTGTGGCACACCTCCCAGCATCCCGAATGGTCAGGTTGTGGGGTCTGACTTCCAATGGGGGTCCAGCATTAGTTATAGCTGTAATCAGGGTTACCAGCTTTCCCTTCCCACTATCCTCACCTGCCAGGGCACAGGAAACTGGAGTGGCGAACGGCCTCAGTGTTTTCGTAAGTGTGAATTTTTCTGAAGCCTTAAAATAGAATTTGAGTTTTACCAGAAATGTTCATAAGCATTTAAATCGACGTATATAAAATTTTTAACTGGATATCTCTAAATTTCGGCTGTAAGTTTTGTGTGATGATTTTAAAACCTTATAGTATAATATTCTCCTCAATTAATATCTTTTTCTCTGCAGCTGTATTTTGTGGAGATCCAGGGATACCAGCCCAGGGCAAGCGAGAAGACCGAGGGTTCACATACCTGTCCTCTGTTTCATTCTCATGTTACCCGCCTTTGATCCTGGTCGGCTCTGCTCGCCGATACTGCCAATATGATGGAACCTGGAGTGGAACCCAGCCGTCTTGCATAGGTCAGCTGATGTATTCATGCTGTCCTCACATTTAAGAAAGAAAGAAAACTGTTCTGACAAATTATTATATTGCAAAACGGTAGTTTTGAATAGCAATTGGGCTGGTTTTATTTCGCAACCTGGCAACCCTGCACATTTCCATTCAAAAGTGTATTTATATATATATATATATATATATATATTTTTTTTTTTTTTTTTATATAATTATTATTATTAATTTGATCATAAATACAGTAAAAAACTTAAAAGTTTTTTCAATTTAAGATCCCAGTCACACCAGCTGTGTAGATCCTGGCACTCCTCTCTTTGGCCACCAGAACAACTCTCAAGGCTATCAGGTGCTAATCACATCAAACCAAGACTGTTATCAATTCATCTGGAACACATTTTTTGTCTTGTCATTTATTGACTATTTGTGTGTTTATGTCAACAGATTGGTAGTTCAGTATACTACAGCTGCAGAAAGGGTCACCTCCTTCTGGGTTCCATCTCTCGGACCTGTTTGCCCAACCTCATCTGGAGTGGCATGCAGCCTGAGTGCATCGGTTAGCCGCAATCTTGCAAACATATTAGCCTGATTTATCTGTTACTGTACTTTTTTTGTTTTCAAATGCATTTTTAAAAATGATTTATTAAAAATAATTGTAAAATAATTTCTAGTGATTAATAATGTAGAGCAGTGGTTCTCAAACCTGTCCTGGAGTACCCCCAGCCTTGCACATTTTGTATGTCTCCCTCATCTATCACACCTGATTCAACTCGTCAGCTCATTACTGGAGCCTGCAAGACCTGAAGTGGGTGTGTCAGATATAGGGAGACATACAAAACGTGCAGTGCTGGGGGTACTTCATGGAGAGGTTTGAGAACCACTGATGTAGAGCAACCTTTTCTGATTTCATTGAATTTGTATGGTTATATGGTTTTTGTTTGTTTGTTTGTTTTTCCACAATACCCCCTCCACAATATAATATATTTTCTCTTATTTCTCTCCTCAGCTCATCACTGTAATCAGCCGGAGCTCCCCGCACAGGCAGATGTAGGTGCTATAGAGCTTCCATCTCTGGGTTATACTCTCATCTACACCTGTCAGTCTGGTTTCTACCTTGCTGGAGGGTCTGAACACCGCACCTGCAGGGCTGATGGCAGCTGGACAGGGAAACCTCCATTGTGTGCACGTATGTACAAAATACTTATGTGTGTTGAATAAATATGTGTGTGAGCCCACAAACCAAAATGTACTGAACTTAAATGTGCTTTTACATGCAATTAGTTTTTTCTTTTAAAAAATGTAAAAGAAATTGATTGATTGGCTTTGAGCATGTTCATACCACATGTGTGTTTTGGTGTAGCCCATCTACTTGATTTACAGACTTAATGATTTACCGTATTCCACCACTTTGTGATTTTCTTCTCTACAAATGTTGATAAATGGCCACGTCCACCTGTTTCATCTCCACAACTGGCGTGATCGCTGTGCCCAATTCATCATGTTATTGTTGAAATGTTATATTAGTAGAGCTCTGATTAGCCCAGTGGAATGCTTTGTTTTGGTTTTGGAAAGCCCAGACTGCTATAAAATATCATCAGATAAACAGTTCCCATACAGCATTTACCATGCCGACTGTGAGCATATAGGGCAGCAATATAAGATTAGCAATCTCCTTTTTACTTTGCTGAAGGAGGATGGCATTCGTCTCAAGTTCAACCCTAAATGCTTCACAGTCTAAGAGTTGTTGAAATATGTTGCTGTAATCTTTTATAATAAAGCTATGAAAGCAGGGTTCTGGCCTTTTGAAGTGGAAAGATATTAACAGCACCTGTGGGAGACCAGAGAGGGGCAACATAGTCGTATGACATCTAATAAAGCTGTTTTTCCCCACTGTGTGTGTCCAATCATCTTATAATGTCCTGGAAAGTAGACTTCACAGGGTATTCAGATATAATAAGTGAGATTCCAAATCATACAAATTCTACAGTATATGTTCAGTCCAAATGGCACAGGGAACAAGTGTACATCAATTTATCACTTCATAGGAAGGAAAACAAAGTTCAAGGCAGATGCTGCAAATAATGCACAAGATGTCTTAACGGTACAGTTCCTTTATTATGCCCGTGGGTTACATAACAGAAGACGCATGTTATAAACAAACCAAACCACATTTATTTACTTATAAAGCATTGCAACAGTCATTTATTATTAATTGTAATATAATGCATATTATTTTTAGTAATGTAAGCATGTTTATTAGTACTGCTTGTGAAAGGTCCTGTCAGGTGTTTTATGTCTTTTCATCTGACACCATATATATACAGGTGCATCTCAATAAATTAGAATGTCGTGGAAAAGTCCATTTATTTCAGTAATTCAACTCAAATTGTGAAACTCGTGTATTAAATAAATTCAATGCACACAGACTGAAGTAGTTTAAGTCTTTGGTTCTTTTAATTGTGATGATTTGGGCTCACATTTAACAAGAACCCACCAATTCACTATCTCAACAAATTAGAATACTTCATAAGACCAATAAAAAAACATTTTTAGTGAATTGTTGGCCTTCTGGTCTTGTCCTTCAGCTGATAACAGACCAAGCGGAAAAACTGCAGGAACAGTGCAAGAGCCGCCCAACACAAAGCAACCCGGTAAGTTTCACTGTCTACCATAAATTAAAGTAATCTTTTAATGCAAGGCAAGTTAATTAAATATTCCCCTAAAATATTTTAGTCACTTGAATGTATAATACAGTAGCTCTTGTGTTTGTTTCTTTCATTGTGTTCTTCTTTTCTGTGCCTCTATCTCAGTGCCAAGTGGGGTCTTTGCTAAGAACTCTCTTTGGAGGGGTTCATACGAATATCTAGGGAAGAAGCAGCCAGCAATGCTTAGCATAACTGCTTTTGAACCATTCAGCAATCGGGTCAATGGCACTCTCTTGGACCACAGCGGAGTACAGCTTAATCTGGCTGGTGAGTGTTGTTTTTTATTATTTTAACCTCACAACACATTTGACGAAACACTCATTTGTGACGCTTCAGCAGCAAGGTAATGGCAATTTTCTAACTTGTACTGTCTCTAGCACTGTGTTTTGTGTTGTCTTAAAGGAAAAGTTGAGCCGAAAATGAAAAATCTGTATTTGTTACTTATTCCAATCCATATTTTTATTCCATGGAAGATAAAGGGAGATATTTTGCAGAATGCCTAAAGCCTGGAATGCACTACATGACTTGTATTATCTATTTTCAAACACTAAACATCATACACTTGTTGACTGTAAAAATTTACAGAGGAAAAACTGGACATCATACACTAAATGACTGAGGATCGCACATTACCAAACTCTCCAGGCATTGCAAATAAAACAAACACATGCCTTGTTGCTATGAAGCACGTAACAAATGAAAACGTTTTTTTTTCTTAAATTGGCTCAAAATATCAGTCATGTTTGATATCCTACAAATGGATGGCATCATAGTATGAAGCTACAAATATCTGAGTCTGTAACTGCCATACACTCCACAATTTTCTATAAAATCTGTCAGCTCAAATCTACTGACTGGCTCGGACTTTCACCAACTAGCATATGTGTATTTTAAAAACTTTTTTTTTTGGTACACATTTAAAATGTAATGAAAATGTTAATGTAAAGTAAATCTTACTAGTCAAATTATTGTTACATTGAGTCATTACATTGAAAATCCATATGAAACGAACACAAATTTAAAAAAATACAAGAACTTGGCAATTATGTTTTATTGCGAACACTCGTGACACCCATTAACACTCCTCTCCATTCTGCAGGTATCTATAAGAAAGAAGAAGCCCAATTGTTGCTGCAGGTGTATCAGATTCAAGGTCCTGTGGAGATCTTTGTTAACAAGTTCAAAATTGACAACTGGGCATTGGATGGACATGTATGTATATTTCTTTTTCCGTTTCCTCTGAACTTCCCCGTAGTTGTCACAGGAAGCCCTTATGCGCAGTACATCCGTAGAATCATTATCCTGACATTTTGAAATGAAGACTTTCAGCAGTGTGAAACGTGGAAGCAATAATCATTGTGATGATTCTACAGATTTTCCACATTGTAATGGATTAGATTCAAATAGATTGTTTGCTTTGAAGATATTAGGGAACCACAGATCAAATATTTGAACCATGTAGATGCGATTTAACTTTACCCAGTCATCCAGTTGGCTTATATTTAAGTGGACTGGTTGCTGGGAAAAAGAAGCATCTTACATTTGATTTCAACAGCCGTACTTTTATGTTGATGCAAGTCCTTTCTGCTTCATGGTATGGCTCCATGCAGATGTAGTCTTCAGAAAGTTGTGCTCTAGCTTTGATAGATGGAAGTTTTTGAACCTTTACTGCAACCTGAGTGTGCTCAAAGTGTACTTCAACACTCACAGGCTGATGTAAGGGCACTTGTTTAGGGCCGGACCTTGGGCTGCTTATAACTACTGAAACCCTCAACCACACACACACCTTGTCACTCCTGGGGATAGCAGAGAACCGACAAAGTTTTTCTTTTAATTAAAATGTCAGTTAAATCATTGCTGGGTAATCAGGGCCAGACGTCTCTAACCCCCTCCAGTGCACTCGGGACAAGCACCTGGGAGAATGTAATTAAAATTGTGGGCCATGAGTGTGTGGCTCGTGTGTGTGTGTGTGTGTGTGTGTGTGTGTGTGTGTGTGTGTGTGTGTGTGTGTGTGTTCGTGGAAGAGAGAGAGAAATAGAGAACGCACAAGTGGTAGAGCAGCGGGGAGAAAGCTAGTTTTATATGGATTTGTGTGTGGATTTGTACACTTTTTATGCCTCAGTGAGAAATGATGGGAAAGTAAATGTCAAACATAAGTAGACTTTCATATCACTGACACATTTTACCTTTCAGTGGCTCATTTGTGACATTTTGAAAATTCTTTATGCTTACTGTTTTGTACTTTTCTCCACAGGTGTCATACATGCCTTCTTCTGATTCATTTGTTTACCAAGGCTTTGTTCGAGGAAAAGGCTTTGGCCAGTTTGGACTTCAGAGACTGGGTATGTGTGCTTGTCTTACAGGACAGTTAAACCTTATAATTTGTTAAAGGGATAAAATTAAAGTTCTGTCATCACTTACTCACCTCATATCATTCCACACCCAAGGCGTACAGCGCTTGTCGGAAGCGATACGCCTTTTTCAATAGTTCTGTATTTTGAACGCTCTATAGAAAATATTAACGTCTATTATTTATCATACTTACAGGTTGTGATTCAGTGGAGCAGCTGGTCTAAATAAACAGGATACTGATCCATCTTTCAACAGCAAGCGTTTTGTGAATCCCGCGTTAAACTCCCAGAGATTAGAGAAGCAGTCGTCAGTAGAATGATGTGTTTGTGGGCGGGGTCAAGTTGTTCGCGGCCGGCCAACATAGAATATAGGCGTGCATCATGCAAATGTGTTACCCCGTGACGTGTAGCCGTCATGGAAGTGGGATTCCAATTACTAATGACTCGTTTCAGCTGTTCAGAGTCGATTCTTTATTTTGGGAGACAATAACTTTATTAATCGCGCACTTTCAGCTTTACAGCTTTGCAGATCGTTTACATTCACATACAGCTACATTACACGCTGCATGAAAGGCAATAGTGGAAATGGCATAATAGGGGCACTTTA